TTTTATAGCTTCTAAACTGCACCTTTACTAAGGCACTTTAACCTACAGAAATAAATCTAAGTAGAAATAGATACTTTTTAATAGGATATAGCAGAAATATTATCCCAGCCAGATAATTAAAAAGTATATTACCTTATTATATTTTAGTCTAAGAAATTTAATAGTTCTAAAACTTACTATTCAACCCCAGATTAAAAGCTTTTTACTATTGTTTATTTTTTTAAGTATTAGTATTAATACCTTAAAGGGCTATTGTATACAGTAGAGGTTTTTTTAGATTATTAAAATCTTTAAATATTTATAAAACAGCCGAGACTGAATAGCTGTTAGGCTTAATAATATATATATTTTAGTAGATATAATTTTATTATTTGGTATTAGTCCGGCAGGCGCAACCCTACTAACCTACTATTAAAAATAAAAAAGATTTTGAAAGTTCTATCTAATAAGGAGGTTCTAAAAATAATACAGTATTAAATAGCTGATAAATTCTTAACAGATTATTAACTAGTCTAGATAAAACCCCAGTCTAAGTATAATAAGATGTTTTTATAAAAAAGTTCTAAATTTAGTATCTATATAGTATTAAGCTTTTAAAAAAGTTAAAAAAACTAGAAAGCTGGTATAAAAGCAGCTAACTGGACTGTTAAAGTAAAAGTATTTTATAATTAATATATTAGTATATCAGCAGTATTCCGAATATATAAGTATAAAAACTTTTTATATTCTAAGATTAATAAGAAACTATATTCTCTGATTGGAAGAATCCAAAAAAAAAATATAAAAATATACTGTTAAAAACTTACTGTTTTACAAGGCAATCCAGAACTAAAGTACTAGAAAATTAATAAAAATAATCTTATTACCTATAAGCATTGTTTGTATATTTCTGTAGAAAAATATCTTTAGTAATATTTACTTAGTTTTTATTATAATAACCAGCTAGCAGGCTATTTCAGGCAGTTAAAAATAAAAGCCCTTTTTAGACGGAAGTTTTACTGGGTAAATCTTTATAAAAATATAGTTATCTATATTAGAAAATATCCAGTTTATTAAAGGATTATCTTTACTAAGTATAAGCCTTATAGCAAGCTTAAATCCCTACTAATTCTAAGTTAATCTTTTAATAAACTATTTATAGATTTTATTACAGGACTACCCCCTATTATAATAAAGAACAATATTTAGGATTTAATCCTTATTATTGTTAATAGATTTATAAAGTGGTGTTGTTTTTTTTTTATTTTATATACTATTACTGCCCCAGAACTTACTGAACTTTTTTATAGAGAAATTAAACTGTAATATGGTCTATTATAGGGTATAGTCTTTAATAAAGGCTCCCTCTTCACCAGTAAATTCTAGTCTTAAATAGTATACTATATCTAGGTTAAACTGCAGTTATTAACAGTATTTTAATCTTAAACTAATAGCTAAACAGAACAGATAAACCAGACTTTTGAGTAATATTTATATTATTTTATTAATAAGAATTAGTTTAATTGGCCGGCTCTACTGTCTTCTGCTTAATTTACTTATAATAATACTTTAAATTCTACTACTAGGTATTTGCCTTTTAAGGCCCTTATAGGCTATTTATCTGATTTTTATTTTTATACTAAGAATATTATACTACAGAAAGGGGTTTCTGCAGCTAAAAACCAAATTAATAAATTAGCTGTATTGTAAGAGAAGTTATAAAATTACTAGTAAAAAGCTAATAAGATCTAAGTAAAATACTATAATAAGAATTATTAACTAATAACCTTTAAAAAGGGTGATTTAGTAAAGCTGTCTACTAGAAATTTAAAGATTAAGGCCCTATTTAAAAAGTTAGCCCCCCAGTATATTAGGCCCTTAAAAGTTCTAACAGTTATTAGAACCCAGATATATTAAATATTTCTATTTAATTATTACAGTTAAATCTACAACATCTTCTATATATTATTATTAGAATAATAGAAATCTAATATAGAATTAACAAATAAACTCTACTCCCTAGAACTGGAAAAGAAAAAGAAGTTTAAAGTTAAGAATATTAAAAATAAACAAATCTTTAAAAGCAAACAATATTTTCTAGTTAAATAAAAAAACTGGCTAAGTAAATATAATAAATAGGTATTAGAGGAATCTATAGAAAATACCCAGTAAACAATATAAAATTATAGGAAGTAAAAAAAAAAGTCGGGGCAGCAGAAAAATTCTTATTTCTAAATATAAAAAAAACAACCGAACTACTATTAAATTACTATATTAAATATAGTTAAAAAATTGTATTAATATACTTAATTAAACAAAACACCTCTATAAATAAGCTGGACCCCTGTTAAAAACCTACTAAACAGAACCAGAGTAAGATTATTCCTATTAAAAAATATAAGCAGAAAAGGGCTAAGTATTCTTAATCTTTTAAATATAGTAATCCTAAGAAGATTTTATATTACTATATATAGTCTTAACCTTACAGCAGATCCCAGTAAAAAAAGCCTGCTTGGTACTGGTTTATAAAATATAGCTATTATTATTAAAAAAAAGATAGAGTACAGTTGGATTTTTAGTAATAGTACAACAACCCGTAATAAACTTATAATAGAAGGGGAGATGCGGCTGGAAAATCAGCTTATGCTTCAACTGGAAACCTATAGAGAAATATATCTGAATCTTGGCCTTAGAAGACCCGGTCAACTCGTGTTCACAGCAATGGGCCAGCTCGGCAGCCTCAAAACCGACCGCAAGCGCCAGGGTCAACTGGAAACCTATAGGGAAACATACCTGAATCTTGGCCTTAGAAGACCCGGTCAACTTATGTTTACAGTGATGGGCCAGCTCGGCAGCCTTAAAACCAACTGCAAGCACCAGAATCAACTTATAAATAAAAAAACAAAGCTTAGAAGACCAGTTAAAGTTATTATTACTGGTAATAACAAAAAACTTTTTATACCAACTTAAGATTATTAAAAGTTTGGTGGTGTTTCTAAGCATACCAACCAATATCTAATTTTAATTAACTTAATATAACTATTAAAAGGGTATTAATACTTATCTAGTTACAGATCTGATTATAATTTAAATACTGTTTATAAGCTATAGATACAGCTGTATTAAAAATACAGCCGGAAGAGAAAAGCTTCTTATTAGTAGGATTAAAATTACAGATAAAGGTATAAAAGTAGTATAGATAAAAAAAAGTCTTTAGTATAAGAAAAGTATCAGCCAAACAGCAATAAATAGTAGGAGGCATAGTATTAAATCTTTATTAACTTAAAAAGAAAACAACTTATATTCGCTGAAAACTATAATATAAAAGACAAAGATAATACTAAAAATAATATAAAATAAGTATAAATAAAGGGAGAATCAACAGAGAATTAAAATATAAAAAATAATAAAGCTGTAATAAACTTTTTTATTTATAAATATAATATATATCAAATCCTGATTGGATTATTAATAATATATATCCTCTATTTACTATACCTAATATAATATAAAGTAATATAATATTATATTAATAGCCTTACTACTATAGTAATACTAGCTGTATAGCCTGTTAAAGTGTTATTAAATATCTAGATTACTTTTTTTAGCTATATATTAAAGCTATCTCTATCTATACCCTGGACTAGGTGGTCCGGCTTGGCAGAGGAGTATAAATTATTATATAATATCTGTAGTATACAGCTGCCAGCCTCCTACTTTAATACTGCTATTATTACTAATTTATCGGGCTTCCAATCCGGGTTTTTATATTAGTATAAAGCTGATCCCTTTTTTCCAAAATATATATAAGCACTTGAAATCCTTAGGGGATTAGGGATTCCTAAGGATTAGTTTTGTAATTAATAGAAGACTACTTCTAACTGCTTTTGCCTTGCCTAACCAACGTGTCTACTGCGTCAAGTAGTTCCTGACACTATGTAATACTACTATCTTTGGCTATTACAATAAGCTATTTGTTTACTACACTATTTCACCCTCTAGTCCTTATATATAAGTTTTTTTATAATATAGACTGGCAAGGCTGGTAAATATTACTTTTTAAAAATATTTTTTTAAAATATAAAAAAAACCTTATTTTAAGAATATAAATAATTAAAATTTATAGTTATAGTTATATTTATAGCCAGTAAATACAGTTAAAATAAAAATAATAAAAAGCCAGCTTTAATAACCAGCTCATATAAGTTTTTTTATAATATAGACTAGTAAGACTAGTAAGTATTACTTTTATAAAATATCCTATTAAAGTATAAAAAAATCCTATTTTAAAAATATAAGTAATTGGAGTTTACAGTTATAGTAATATATATAATCTAAAATATTAATGAATTATAAAAAAATTCCTAAAATAAATTTTTCTTTTAAATATTAAAAATATTAATAACTTTACCAAACCTTTATTAAATTATATAAGAGCTATATTAATCAAATTAGAATAAAAACCTTTATTTAAAAAACACTTCATATATCTTAATACTTTATACTTTCTTTAACACTTGAACTTGTCATTTTGCTATATAGAGCTGAAGCTACTATTTCCCAAGTCAAAGTCGAAATGGGTCGAGAAAACCGGCAGAAATGAAGTTCTCAGTGGGAGTAGCTTTGCAACTCTTGGCGATAAAGTTACTTCGAGATGTATAAGAGCGAGCAAGACATAATGTAGATCAGTAGCTGATTGTAGGCCGTGGTCGTCGTTGATTTCTTAGTGTAGGTTGCTCGTTCCAGAGAAGAAGGTTGGGCCGTGGGACCTTTGCGGGACATGCTTCATGGCAGCGGGACAGAGAAAACTAACTTTTGCCATGACCTTCATCGATCGAGGTGTAGGATATACTAGATCCAATGGATCTACTCTCTCCAGAACCTTGAACAACGCTAGTCCCCGCAAAATCGTTTTGCGGGGAAAGAACGATTGTCCCCATATATGCCGATGCCATCCGTATATCAAATCAGTAATATCTGCCAATACCCCGAATCCTGCTAAAAGATATCAGATTCTGAACATGACAATTTTCTCAACTAGCAAACCTCGCACAGGGTACGAGGAGGATGTTCTACCCGGCACGGATATTCTGCGTGACCGGGGAAGTAATGAGGTTCCCAACTCACATACAGCGTACGAGTTATTGTCGCTCTTTTCTTCTCTCTCCAGACTGGGATTCTGATGCAAACAGCAACCTCGTACCACGTCCCTCCGATGCCCCCCATGATCCACTGAATTGGTCGCCCACTTGGAAATGTACGTCTCCAGTCCGAATATCAATGTCGGCGACCAGCAAATAGCTTATGTTCACGAGCACAGATCTTGTTATCGCAACCCAATTCCTTTTTCTATTCGTCTCCGTGGAATCTGCCCTTTCAATGGGCCCAATGTTTCCCTTCTTCGCCGAAGAATTCCATCTGGACGAGACCCAACTCAGCCTCCTGACCGGGGCGTGTGTTTTGGCCCTCGGCTACTCGAACTTTCTCATCGTCCCGTGCTCGAACATATTTGGTCGTCGGATCACCAGTCTTGCCTTCTGTCTGCTAGGCACGGCGTCGTGTCTGTGGCAAGCACTTGCAAAATCTCATTCGAGCTTGCTGGTGGCGCGGGTTGTTAACGGAATAGCCACGGCCACGAGTGAGACGGTGATGGTCCAGGTCACTTCGGACATTTTTTTCTTGCACGAGCGCGGTGCATGGACCGGCCTTTATTTGTAAGCTTCGTGCTGCGAGTCCTTGTTCCCCTGCTGACTGGTGTTGCCTCTAGTATGGGGTACTTTTTGGGCTTGTTTATCGGGCCCATCATCTCCGGGAATATTGCTCAAAAGTACGTCGTTGTCTACCATCTTAGGGCTCGGATAGATAACTCATCACCTTTCGTTTAGCATCGGATGGCGGAGCTTTTTCTGGCTATCTCTTGCCATGTCTGCGTTCAACTTCATTACTCTACTCGTTGTCTTCCCCGAAACTCGATATCTTCGCGACCATAAGGATGCTCCCGCATCCTCCACTCAGCCCAGCTCTACAGAACCGATAAAACAGGAATTAACACACCTAGAGAACCTAGAGACGGTCGACCGTGACATGAATATTCATGGCAAAGGGCGCCCATCTAGGATGCAATTCAAGCTATGGCAAACACCCGAGCCACAGTGGAAGCAGCTCCTCTTACGGGACTTGACAGTCCCATTCTACGCATTCCTATTCCCCATCATCCTGTGGGCAGGACTGAACGTCGCTGGGCCAGCGAACCTCCTCCTATACTGGAACCTGACGGAGTCAGGAGTACTGAGTGCCCCACCGTATAACTTCTCCCCATCCAGTGTCGGCTACTCAAACTTCGCCTTCGTCGCCGGTGGCCTCGTTGGCCTCGTCACCGCGGGCCCCTTTTCAGACTGGATCGCCGCCAGAGCAACCGCCAGAAACGGCGGGATTCGCGAAGCGGAGATGCGTCTCCCAGCACTCATTCCGTACTTCATCACCACCGTCGTTGGTGTCATCATTGGCGGCCTCGGATATGATCGTCAATGGGAGTGGCCTGTTATCATAGTCGTCGGGTATGGTCTCACGGGTCTGTGTGTGACTGCCGTTCCAACGATTGCTATTTCATATGCGGTTGACTGCTACGAACCAATTTCGGGAGAGATTATGGTCGTGGCGACGGTGATTAAGAATACCTGTGGGTTCGTCATGAGCTATTGGGTCATGCCGATGGCCGCGAGAAGAGGTTGGTTGGTACCTACGATGGTGGAATTTTCATTGACAATTGGTCCGTTGTTATTTGGGATTCCGATGTATTTCTTTGGCAAGAGTTTGAGGCAGTTGACAAGGAACTCAAGAGTACATGCACTGTGAGTAACGGTTATTATAGGAGACACTGCTTCTATGAAGGAGAATGTTGTCTGTGTTTCTCAATATGTGCGATCCAGATTATTGTAATTTACAGTGTGCCACAGTTTGCGATAGGTATAACCAGGCGTAGAAACGAGCACTTAGAATTGTCCCACCACAAGTTTCTTCTCCCTGTTAAAATAATCACAAAGTCTACGGGGAACAAAGTCCACCTAATAGGAGTAAGAAGATTTCCAGTTTCCGTCGTGGGAAGCACAGACTTGTGGAAGACAGCTTTTGTTTACAAATACTTTACCATTTGCCCAAAGCTCGTTAGAACCACTCTCAAGCGTGATCTCTTTCTACTGTGCTTATGATAATCCAATCCCTGATGCTTCAAATCCGTCACTTCATTTTCATCTGAGATATCCAGACAATCAAGATACAAAAGCTGCCACCGGCTTATTATGCCCCCCCTCCAAATCCCCATGCAGCAACACGACAGCAATCGTCCCAAGCTGCTGCGCCAACCCCCAATGACCAATCCGTTTGAGTAGATCCACATACCGACACGCAGTCGTCGTCCTTGACGGAAGTGGTTTATTATTTTGAAAATCCTGTGACTCGAGGAGAAGTTTCGCTGGATTCACGGTGGTGCACTTCAGCTCTTCGAAATTATGATGATGGAGATTAACATCGAGGACCCTTGGCTCGTTTGTGGTGGTGTCGCCGCTGCTGCTGCTGCCGAATTTCAGAAAGCTGTACCAGACGATGGTTGCTCTGAATAGGACTCGGGGGACATGGATGGCGGGCTCGATTCCTAATGGTAATGTCTCTAGTAGATGGAGGATTAAGATAGCGTGGACGGCACATCGCGTGCCGGCTGGGGAGTTGGCCCATTCGGTGGCGTATTTCTTGTGGGGTTGGGCTTCGGTGTAGCCTTCACGGCCGATGGCACACTCTAGGCGGTCGATATTAGCATGGAGACTGAGGAAGCCGGAGTGCCAGAGAGCCTGGAGGCAGAAGATGTCTCTTTGTAGTTGGGAGGAGGACTTTAGGGGTCGGAGATAGCGGTCGTGGAAACTGATCAGTGCTCGTTCGAACTTTACTTGCAAGTCTGCATCCTTTGCTTGCTCCTGGAAGTTGGAGTCACTAATGGCCCAGATCAAACTTTCTAGCTCGACGTATGACCGGAACCCCATCAGGCCCGGGGGTGATGGGTTAGTGGGTATCCCTGATTGCTGTTGCTGTTCGATCTGACATCGCACCGCGCTGGCCCAGGCTTCCGCAGTCGGGGCCGTCCAAAGATTGTCCTCGGATACTACGTCCAACGGTGAACGTCGTACGAGAGGATCGGTGAGCAATAGCTCGGAGAGCTCGGCATCTAGGATGAAGACGGCGGCCCAGAGCCTGTAGCAATTAGACACATTACTTGCTATACTGTCGAGGGAGGAACTCACCTGATCTGCTCTTCGGCTTGGGACCAGGCTCGCCATGTTTGCTCCGGGGCGCGATATACATCTTCGATGTTGATCTGGTCGATGGCGCGACGACTAGAGAATAAGTTCTGTCTTTTCGCCCACTGATGATGTCAGCTGCATCGTTCGTGAACTATAACTACTATCTGTGTGGATAGGCTTACGGTGATGACTGTGCCATGAAATGTCTGTACAGTTAACAGATCTTTTGGTCTCTGCAAAATACCAGTTAGATGATGAACTAAGCAGACGATTGGCACTCTTACCCCCGTTAACATGCCGAAGATCTGCCCAATCAGAGCTGCTTGCACCATGGACAGGGCTTCAGCTTTTCCTTTGATCATATATGTTTCCCACTTCTCCAGTCAGCGACATGCTGCGCCAAACGTTGGCTTAGTAACGAACCGAAGAGAGTATAGCTTTGTGGAGCGTTTCAAAAATTTTGATTCCCCGTTGGGTAGCATGATTCGAACCCAAGAAGAGACTGCCCATCGAGCAGATCGAGAGCAGCAACAGGGACCGTTTAACCGAAGGACGAAACGTCTGCTGATGAATGATGGGAAGTATGTTTGTGAAACGAGCAAAGAAGAGTCGAATACACATATTCTGATAGGTCAGCATGGTATTAACAATGCTAAACATTCTTCGATGCTCACCAGAAAGTCTGTTGACGGCAATGGCTCTGTCGTGATGCGCTGCTGAAGGCGTTGGGCGAGATTCTCTCGATCAGCGTCATCAATGTGGGCCCGATCCGGGTTACCCCCAGGGGTGTCGTAGCCAGTCCCACTGCCCTCCAGAAAGGTAAACCAGTGCCGTCGAACGATATCTTCCGGTTGCTCAGGGACCGGTTCGACGACACCTGCCGACAGCGGAGTTAATAGCGGGGCCTCCAAGAATGAGGGAGGTGGCTCGACAATGGATTGCGTAGTGGACGTGATGATCGCGGCATTAAATGCCCCCAGGTCGAAATTATCATCGGCTAACCATGCTGAAGGTTGCGCGGTCCAGCCTACTGACCAGTCCGACAGACAGCTAGGCTGCATCTCCGCCCAGTCAGGTTGGCCCGTGGCTGGATCCACGGGTAGAGACGGATCGTGAGGCACTGGGCTGGTAAAGTTTGCCGTGGCTGTAGAACCGGCGGACGGTGAGCCAAGTCCATAATCTGTTGGATGGTTTGCATGTGCAAAGGAAGCTCCTGTTGTGTTGAACTTTGACCCTGTCGCCGGGACGGGAGCCTGAGCCCTTTCATTTCCTACAGAGTCTGCAGTAGTAGAAGATTTCTGGGGCCCTGCTTGCCGCGTGATTCCATGGGACCGCGCATGGCGAAGGAGGGAATCACTGACATCGTTAGGAGCTCTGCATGGGGGTAGAACTAGATTCATCAAGGGTCAACGCACTAGCGAGTAAAGGACTTTGTGCACACCGTACATGAGAATGGCCTTTCTCGGGTATGACGTCTGATATGTCGAGCCAAGTGATCCTCCTTGGTGAAGGACTGCGAGCACCACGGGCAAATACGTTCCGGCCTGCTATTCGGATGGGCCGGCATGACTGAACTCCGGAGGGGATGAGAACAGATTAAATACGTTTGCAGAACAGATGCTTCTGCTCATGCGGCGAGATATACAAGAGGGATGGCACGCATCTGAGTCGATGAGAAGTCAAAGAAACAGGTGAACAGACCCTGCAGAACCGCGAATCTTGGTGTTCGACGGGTTCATCAATTAGAGTTCACCCCCGCTTTCCTCGTTCACAGCCAACTGTGATTGGCTGAACGAGGTGGCAAACCCTGTTACTGTTATTGGGCGCCTGTCAAACGTGCAATAGTTTCGGACTAACGTGAGAGCGTCTGAAGCCGACGGCCGATGCATATATCCTAGGTTCAGTATTGCTCCATAATGATGAAAATTCGACAGGCAGGAATTCCGGGGCTTACGAAACTCATGTTTTTCTGTTGTGTGGACTGTGGAGACCCCGGACGTCCCGCAAGGTCCCGCAGGAAGCTTCTCCAGACATTCGGATATACGGATTATGGAATTCCAATTGGATCCCACTGCATGGCTTTGCGGGGAGCAAGTCGGATACGGGGTACCCCCAGGCATGATCTACAGCCCGTGACTTTTACCGAATTATTCGCCAAGGATTGAGACATAAAACGATCATTGCACTTATTGTCTCTCAGTTCTTCCTTGAGCATCTGTGTCGCACACGAAAACAACCAATATGGACAGCAAAGATTGGGAGACAACCGACATCCTCATCTGCGGATGTGGCCCAACGGGGGCGATGTTGTCAGCCCTCCTGGGCCAAATGAACATCCCCAACGTGGTGTTGGAACGGGAAGCCAACATTACAACCGATCCTCGTGGAATTGCTCTGGATGAAGATGGCATACGGGCGTTGCAGGGCTTGGGCTTGTACCGAAGCATATATACAGAAATTGGAACCTGTAAGATATCCTCCCAAGGTCTCTAACCGCCAAGAGGAAAGAGGGTTTAACCAGCTCTAGGTATGGGAAAATTCAATTTCATCAGCGGCACAGGTGCGAACTTGTCAAAGGAGGCGTTCATTGCCATGGACTATGCCACTGTACGACCCTTCTTTTGTGCGTTTGTGGTTTAACGATCACTGAATTGGTCAAAACAGACTGCTGGCGGAACTGGCCATGTCGGATATATCTGTCACAAGCAACCAGCACTGGAGAGGAAGCTCAGAGATATTATGGGGACTCATGCATCTTGCTCTCTACGATCTGGATCAACCGTCATTGGTCTCGAAGAAGACGACAGCTGGACATATTGCACATACAGAGATGCGGAAGGGACGGAGCGTAAAATTCGTGCGCGCTTCTTTGTGGGTTCCGATGGAAAAACTGGCTACACGCGGAAGCAATACCTAGAGAAGAAAGGGGTTTTTTTGGAGAGGGTGACGGAGTGAGTAATGCCTCACTGTGGACACTTTTAAGCAACATACTAACAATACTCAGCGTGTTATATGATGAGACATGGGTAGCCCTGAACTGGGAAATTACCCTGCCCACCCCGCAGACTCATCCCGCATTCCCTCTTTGGAAGCTCGGATATACCCCCGAGCAAGTATACGATGCATTTTTCCCTTCCGGCTTCCGCTTCCTATGCAACCCAAGTCGCCCGGCGGTTTGCGGCCGGTTTGGACTTCCTAGTGACCGGCTCTGGAGATTCGAGTTCTTCGTCCGACCCGACGAAGATGGACATTACTTGGCCTCGCATGAGATGTTGCAGAAAATCGTGTTTCCGTACATCACCCATGACGGCAGCCGATACTGGTGAGAGACTGTATTCCTCTTAGTTTGGCAAGATTGCTTATTCTTTAGTCTACCTGGTGATGTGCAGTTCCCGGAAGACTGTATCAAGACTCTCCGGTCACGGCCTTTTGCTTTCTCTGCCCGCAGCTGCAATGTCTGGGCGAAGGACCGGGTCATCTTATGCGGTGACTCCGCCCATGTCTTTCCACCCTGTAAGCACACCTCATATCCGTCCTTGTCATTCTTTTCTTTCTCATGATTACAGTTGGCGGTCAAGGTATTGCTTCGGGATTCCGCGACGCTCTGTCATTAGGGTGGCGGCTTGCCATGCTATGTCGATACCATCCCTCCAATACTCAGGTCCACCATTCCGTGCTGAGGTCGTGGTATCTCGAGCGCAAGCAACAGTTAGAGCAATCTCTGGCGGCGACCATTGAGAATGGCAAGTTCGTCACCGAGAGCCAACCGCTCAAAGCTTCCGCACGAGACTGGTACTTCTGGTTGATCCAGTTCGTCCCCAGTTGGAGGCGACAGCTTGAACTGGGCAGGCGCCGCAACGGCATGGTCCGATACCGATACCTGGACGGCATGCCTTTTATTCCTGATCTTAATGGAGGCGTCAATCTTCCTCAGGTTTATGGCAAAACGTCAAACGGAGAGATTGTGTTCACCGACGACATAATCTTTCGCTCCCAGCGAGAAGGCATTTTCCAGATATTCGTATACCTGCGCAATGATGAGGAGCTCTCGGGGGTGCGAAAAGTGTTGCAGGACGTTGAGCAACTCTCTAAAGGTACCATATTGGCCAATAACGTCCCCATCATGGTCGAGGAGTCAGTCGCGGATGTTCAAGATCCGAATGTCATCGTATTAGCCACAGGGGATGAGTTTGCAAGCTCTCCTCTTTGCAACCGACGGCCAGAGCCCATGCTCTATGATCGGTTTGCTCTTCGCAAGGAGGTCCGTGGAAGATATTGCATCGTCCGGCCCGATCGATTCATCTTCGCTGCCTGCAATGATATCAACGCACTGCATGGAGCGATCCACAGCATGCTAGGTTACTTGCAGCAGACGGGCCTGTAATCATGATTTTTATTCCGCAGTGGCATTGTAATAGCTCAAAGCCTGTTCGCAAATGTTTGCAATGTGATGTATATAGCTATCTCTTAGCAATGAAGAATCCAGTATTGTAACTACCGCTATCTTTACTATCAAAGCTTGCTGTATGTTGATTACCTTCCACAACTACCCTAGAACAAGACCACCTGTGCCAGCGAAAACATACCAGGTATAGGCATCAATTATATTTTGGGATATCAGGTCAATTCAACAACCATCCACACACAAATATGCAATAGAGTTCTTACAATGATGTTCCGAGTATTTGCCAGATCGGGTATGGCCAGCGGGACCTGATCCTGCGGGACATTTCAGCGCCACCGGAGGTTAGCAGCGATATGCAACGGCATTAACAGGAATAAGTGGGCTGGCGGGACTCGAATTATGAATCGCATCAGACATAAATGCTACGCAGCGACGTCGCTTAGGCCCATACATGACCATACTCATTGAATACCTCAGGAGCCCGGAGACCCTTACTTCCTGGCTCGTTGAAAGTACACGCATTTCTTCATACCTATCAAGAGAAACAGATAGCAATGGCGTCCTGCCATGGAGCATCTCTCCCGGACATTATGGCCATTGGTCCCGATCATGAATCCATTGTCACCTGGAAACAAAGGTGCGGGATCCAGCGGGAGAAGCAGATCCGCTTGGTGAGGCTGGTGCATATGCGGTATCAACATCCAGATTTGGAAGAGATCACGACGTTTCTGCAGGGTAGGTATGCCAGTATACACATGACTAGAGGATTTACTGACGACTGCAATAGATTTCGGCATGTTCGTTGCTAAACAAACAAAAGAGCAGATCTGGTATCGGGGTTATGGGGTGGATCAGTACGTTTACTACGCCAGAAAGGGAGAAAAGAAGTTCTTGGGGGGAACATATGAGGTTGAATCGTATGCAGACTTGGAAAGGTGAGTGGATCTATACATTCCTTGAGTATCTCATATTGACTGATCTGGAAGAGCGTCTCAACTCCCAACCGGATCCGCCATCCACGAATTGATCGATGCACCTGGCGGAGGTCATATGGTCACCGTCATTGATCCGGAAGGCTTCCCTGTGAATCTGATGTACGGCCAACAGCCTGCGACCCCAGGGGTGTATCCGGAAAACTTGATCTTCAACACCGAGACAGAGAAACCACGCATGCGCAGATTCCAACGATTTGTTGAGGGGCCGGCGCCTGTTCATAAGGTAAGGACACGATTCTGCTCCAAGCTACATGAGAAGCTGTACTAACAATATGCCTACAGCTGGGTCATTATGGCCTCTGTGTGAAGGACTTCCCTGCAATGGTCGCTTTCTACACCACAACATTCAATTTGGTCCCTACTGATTTCCTCCATGTCGGGGAGGGAGAGGACAAAACCAATGTCGCGCTCTTTGCGCACATTGATCGGGGAACTGACTATGTGGATCACCATACCTTTTTCATGAGTGCCAATAGCGCTTCCCACGTCCATCACTGTTCGTTTGAAGTGCACGACTTCGACACCCAAAAGCTGGGGCATCAGTGGCTCGCAAAGAGGAGGTATACCTCTGTGTGGGGAGTGGGAAGGCATATCTTAGGCTCGCAGATTTTTGACTATTGGTGGGATACCACAGGAAACATGATCGAACATTATGCCGATGGTGATATTGTTAATGAGGACACGCCGATTGGGTACGGACAAGCGGGGGATGCCTCCCTAGCCATCTGGGGGCCGGACGTGCCTGCGTGGTTTCTTGAGTAGCCCTCTGGGCATGAACTGAAGAGTCTGGAATTGTCTGTTACGGCTGAAGATAAGGAAATATTATGTGGTTCTGCATATGTTGTTAAATACGTAACTCCAACGATGAAGTGTCTTTACCCACATAACATTAAGGACAGATAATGAGTTCACCTCAGTGAAGAGTACCAGACAATATCTTAATAAATGAATAGTGATTAGAATCAAAATTGAAGTCCAGACATTCTATCGATCTCTGGCCGTTGGTTTTCTTTCAATATTCTTCTTCTCTTTTGAGTGCATGTATGTGTATATATACAACACAGACACTCTACAACAATATCTTATCGAGCTGAGTATACCTGATCAAAATCATTGGACAGAACAATCATATTTGACAATATACATAATGTCTTCATGTACTATCCTCTAAGCCATTTGCGTTCCCATCCCTCACAGACCACTAATCTATTCATAGCGTACGTTATTAGTCAAAGTACCAATCTTATCAATCGTCACCGAAAACTCATCCCCATCCTCCAAAACATGTCTCGGCTTCTTGAAGTACCCAATTCCCGCCGGTGTGCCAGTGAGGAAGATCGTCCCCGCTTCCAACGTAGTCCCTTGGGAGAGGTACGAAATCTGCTTCTTAATGGAGAAGATCATATCCTTAGTATGTCCATCCTGGACAACAACACCGTTATGTATACCCTGAATGCGAAGAGTCTGAGGATCGGTAATCACTGATGGTGAGACCAGGACGGGACCTGTAAATGAAATCTCCGTATTAGTCTTCTTCTGATCTTGCACTTTCCCTCTGAAACAGATCACATACCAATCGGACAACTTCCATCCAAACCCTTCGAAAACGACCACTGAGCAGTAGCCAACTGCAACGTCCGAGCAGATACATCATTCGAAGCCGTATATCCCAGAACATAATCCAAGGCTTTCTCTTCGGGGATATCCCGTCCCGTACGACCAATCACCACACACAACTCGGATTCATAGTCGCTAGTGCCATCCTGGGCACATTTAGGGACATTGATCGCGGCAGGATACGGGCCGATGAGGGCTGAGCGTGGCTTAGTGAAGAGGATAGGAACCGTCGGAAGGGCGAGGTTGGCTTCCTTGGCGTGGTCGAGGTAGTTCAGTCCGAGGCAGCGAATGTAATTGCATTGTTCGCTGCTCACGGGAGCGAGGATCTAGCATTACTTTGTGAGTATTCTGAGAATAGTAGATGGAAGAGGCGTAGGGAATGACTCACCTGCTTCACATGCATGAGCTGATCCGTAACACGGCCATCAAAGATTGTCCCCTCGATGAGGTACACAGGGATATCCACCCCGTTGACGCTGTCTTTGCCCACATCCTGTTCGGTGTTGACCAATTGGCCAAGATGGATGTGGTTGTCTTCGACGGCGACGAATCGGATAAGGTGTGTCCAGGAGGCCATTTTGAGGTGATTTCTAGCTAAGTGAGGTAATGAAGGGTGGAAACAGGGCATGTGCTTTTTTAAATTCTCCAACAAAACGCTCTATAAAGTTGGGGTTGCGGGACGGTATGTAGATTTGCGGGACGTGGCGATGCAGTGTGTTGCCGTCACTGTTGCCGCCGAAGTTAATAAACGATGGGGTCTAGAAGTTGTAGGATCTCAATGTGCAAATCATATTCGATGAAACCTTCCCTCCAGAGATGGATTTACGGAGGTTGGGGAACAGAAATCCGTCATCTCAAGTCTTTCCAGGGACTTGGAGTGCGGCGGGCATCGTCCCGCAGCCCACGTCCCGCAGAACTCACCTCACTTGGCTCTCATTAGTGCGATCCGGCTATCCAAAGGGTCTACTTCTCTGGGACAGGTCTAACGTAATCACATTACGCACATGTATGGTAGATTCCCTGCGATGCCAAACAATCGTATAGATACAGAGTTGGTTATAGTAATGAAGCAGTTCGCCTTCTTTTGCCGAATTGATTACTACAAGGGAGACGTACCGGTAGCGGAACCCTAATTGCATGCTGTTTGATATTAGAGGAGATTTAAGAAGCCTGCTTCAGAACTAGATTTCCCGTTTCCTCATGTCTCTCGGATAACACATTATATATTGTGCCACCATTTGGCCAAATATATTCGCCTAATGGACCAGCGCGTCGCAATGAACAAAGAACGTGGAGCCAAAGATCGCCATCGGTCCAGAGTCTCCCAAGCGTGCAGGAGGTGCCGGGCAAAGAGGGTGAGTGATCATTTACTTGAAGCATTGACTCAATCTGAGCAACTCGAAGAATCGGGGTGTCTAACGGAGTCAATTGAGACCGGCACCTGCTGATCTTCGTCAAGCGCATTAAAGCACCATGCTAATTAATCCATGTTGCAGAATAAATGTGACGGTTCGCGTCCCGCATGCTCAGCATGTCTTACCTCAGGCCACGATTGTGCCTACGATGTGCGGCTACGAAAGCGTGGTCTACGCGAGGGCTATGTTCGGAGTCTTGAGAAGCTGCTAGCACTGGCGATTCGAGAGTTAGACGGATTTGAGGACGACGCTCTCGCACTCATAGGAGTCATGCCGGAATCAGTAGCCCTCCAGAATCAGTTCAGTGCTCCTTGGACAGACGTTGAGTCATCAAATAAGCTGTATCAATCATGGAAAGCGAGTCGACTTCACAGAGCGTTAGAAGGAACCCTCTCTTATCCGGAAACTGTTCCACCACCTGGCACTTTCGCAGACGGTAAACCGCAAATCGACAAGGTGATGGTCAGCTCAATGAATCAGAGTCAAGATTACATGGAAGTCGACGAAGGTCTATCATTTGATAGCGTTAGGATGGAACAGCCTGATGCCTTAGGTGAACTGCCGTATGCGGCTACAGGTACAAACTCCCAGTCAGGCAATACGTCCTCTCCCTGCTTACCTCCACTGCCACCGAATGCTACGCAACTTCTTCAAACTTACTATGCCACCACGCATTCATGGTTTCCGATCATTCCTAAGGATGAGATCACTCGCACATTACATCTCTACTCCGAGCAAGCATGCTTTCAAGCAGGACGCAACACTTCCTGTGCTTATGAATCCACGTTATGGGCGATCCTGAGTCATTCTACCTGTGCTGCAAGTGTCCGACAGCCGGGTGAATCGTCACAACTTCTTTCCGAGGCAAAACGCTACTACTTTATCAGTCGACGCCTCATACCCAACCGGACAGAGCACTGTGGACTAGGACATTTGGAAGCTATCCTCTTGCTCGTATTGGTCAATATCGAGGTTGAACAGTGGCTCGCAGCCTGGCTTCTCATTGGCAGAGCGGTCAAAACAGTAATGTCTTTGGGGCTTGATGAACCCCATGACAGCCAGTGGTCGGTGATGATCCAAGAGGGAAAGACCGCCGCGTTTGGGTGTTTTGTTATTGACTCCTTCCTCGCCTTTTGGAGGCGAGAACCTCCGCATATGCCTGCAGAGTATCTCGATGGCGTCGCGCTAAGAGAGGAGGACGAGTGGACGTCGTGGCCAGCCCTAGTGCTTCCATACCAGAAAGTGGTCTTGACAGATAGCCCGCCATCAGCGCCGTTACATAGCTTCAGCTGCTTCCGAAAGCTTGTGGAGCTCGCACGCATGGCAAATAGGATGGTTGGAGGCTTGGGAAGCAGTAGTCTTTCCCTCCAAACCTTCGTTTATGAACTGAGTCAGTGGGAGAGTCAAATTCCCCGAGAGTGCCGCCTCATCGGTCCTGATAGCACATACCCAGAACGACACCCCGCTGTGCTTTCACATCAGATCTACTTGACTTTAGGATATATTGCGATACTACTGTCTCTATATGTGGACATTACCATCCAAGAGTTGAGCGTTACTCAGGTCGGGGTGCAGGCCCGGGAGAGAGCAAAGAAGCTACTCTGCAGAGTAACTCACGTTTTTTCACATCATGCGAGTCAGTTATGCATATGTGAACTTTCAACAATATCCATGATAACTCTGAAGATTATTCTTGACAGGGCACGACTGCTCCATGAGACGCAACCGGGGACCTTTCCCTACCAGAAATGGATGGAAAGTCTTCGTTGCACGTGCACCAGTCCTGGCCCGGCATCGCCTCGGTTCTGTTCTCTGAAGGCGGATTTATCGCGTTTGTGTGGATCTTCTAAGCTGACAGGAGAAAGTTCAACAAGTGCAACGCCAGACTCAGGCAACATCTGGCTTTAGTGTCTCTGCAGCACAGCAACTGTTTGTACCATATCTATCTACACTTCTGACGCTAACAGGCTGAGGTTGGCGAGAAATATGCAAGAAATAATATCTTGTCATAAGGTGTGCCCATTTGGCAGGCGTTATAAGATTGTATATGATTTTATAGACTTTGTTATCTGAAGGAGAAGAAGGAAAAGATATTGATTGTGATTGTATAGATCTAGAATTATATACTAGCTTATAATGGAAAGAAGCAATCATCTAGAGGAAAGCAATTGTGATGAACTGGGGAGGATCAGATTATTGTAACTAAGGAAAGACTATATATATTGTGCATCCTGACTTTATTCATTACAAAGTGACTATCGCCCTTTATATCGGACCCTCTTGTTCCTCGGCCATAAATCCTATTGATGTAAGAGAAGCTAGTACAAGGCCACTCTGTCCAGGCGAGGGTCACGGTTCGAAGTTATTAGAAACGTATTTCCCACCCCCGGTACGGAAGTTGCCCAATTCTTCATTTCATTCAATAGAGATATCGAAAAAGAAATCTTGGACCTCTAAACATCCTCATATAGAGCACTAGTACAACATAGGCCAGGTAAAGAACCCTTCCATATTCACAATAGACGGATTGAGATTCCACCCTGGCTCCCAGGTACCCATTTCGTCCACAAATGCTAGGTCGAGAGGTGGTGCTCTACCCGCCGATTGAGAGGCTGCCAATGTAGTCACAGAATCAGGCAGCTGAGCCGATGTAGAGACTGACAGATCAGGTTTCTGGGAATTCCCCTGATTGAAACAGACTCTTTGGTCTTTTTCCATACCAGGGAATCCTGTCGACTCTGACACAGAAGGATAATTCGCAGCCCCCTCTGCAGGTGTACAGACCTTCTCGTGATTGGTTGTGGCTTCCAAGCCTAGTTTATTCAAGGCCAGTTCAATCGCTCGTATGGTACTTGCTATCGGCTCCCCTTCTCGCATACTGTAAAGGCATCGGAGCCCCATTTTGATGCGTGGAAGATGAAGGGAAGCCAGATTCGTATCGTGCAGCATATCATATATTAGCGCAAAGACCGCACTCCCGAGGAAGAAGCCGTGGTATCGGAGTTCCTGAATACATGGTCAGTCATTGTTTCTCGAGAAGGGTATTAGTTGGTTGTACCTTCGCGGTCGGAATTTGATGAGAGGTTCGCGCAATATGATCAATCAAGGCATAGGCAGCATTGACGGCGGAGCTACAGGTTGCATCCAACCACACAGGAGTTCCTGGTTTGTCCACATGGTGGTTGGACTGTGTTTCCCGGCATAGTGCTTTTGTCTTTTGCCGCCATCGCCCTCGAAGAATCAGAAAAGGTCGATAGGTTAAGAGAACGGTGTGATTATATACTTTAACTGGCATTAGTCTTTGGTGTGTTTGGCTGTCGGGAATATCATCGGGTCATAAAACAAACAGTACCTACAAGAGCTAAGCATGATCTGGCACACCCCCTGCCCCTGGTTGGATGTGGCAGTGTGCAGCCCAAACCCCATACAGCGCTGCATGATAGATTCGAATTGCCGCAAATCAGAGAGAATCGCAGCTGCCGTCTTCTCCATTGCAAGAAACGAGCCATGTGGCCTTTCGTACATGTCTTCGACTGTTCGCGACATGATCTGGGATAGGTGAACCAAGCAGGTCAGAAAGGGATCGACTGGGAGCGGGATCTCGATCTTTGCTCGTGGGAGGCTGCTGGGTCGTCCCAAGAAGAAAGCCATTAGCCTATGGATATAGAACAGTTAGCTTCAGGGTTCTGATTTTAGGCTGTAAGGTTTGTTTCACGTTTCACAGATGTAAAGGCACCAGACTGTCCGTTGGATAACTTCACGACAGTCCCCGTGTGCAGCCGCGGGTTTATGGAAACCCGCAGAGACTGCCTTCCTCACGGCTGTTCCAATCTCGAGATATGCAGAGTTGGGTCTGCCTCGTTCATTCTGAAAATACGCGTGCTCTCAACTTGGTTAGTCTCTCCCGGTGAAAGGTGCGACGGGAAAACTCATCAGGATAATAGAAGTTTGCACGGTCTCGATATTAACGATATCTGCCAAAGCAGCCGTCTCATTTTTGATTTTGGAAACTAGGGCGTCCGCCAGGAGGTAGTGCTCAGTGTTCAGAGCCGCTATGGCGATAGCAGCAAGGACAATATGCTTTCCAGACGGGTTCCGTGGCGTGTGCAATGTGGTTATGTACAGATCATCCAATTGCTGTTCAAAGAGCGCCCGCGGCTGGAAAGGCACCAGATGGTAGAGGGTTTCCAGGAAACAATCCAGTAGTTGCTTTGCCAATGAATATGATATAAATCCTCCGGAGAGACTGGCCAGTCCCGCTTGACTCGAAGGGTCTCGTCCATTGTCAGGAATGCCAAAGAAGATGGAACGGAACTGGAACATGTCCAGACCGGCGCCACCATCTTCGACTTCACTTGTCTGCGATCGTGGTACCCCTGTGTAACCCGGAATGATGTCGCGGTATATTGTTTGCATCAAGGCAAAGTTGGAAGTGGCACCGTAGTATAACTCCATTGAAAGACTCGGCGATGCTTGGTGTGTGGCAGTGACGCTGTTGGGAGATGGAACGGTGGGTCGATTCACGTGCTGCTGGAAAGAAGAAACGAGGGTCATGTTCATGACTCTGGAAGGGCTTGATATCGTATCACGGCTAACTGCGGAGGTTGGTTGGACTCCAGAAGAGCTTTTTTTCCTGCACTGGCGAGCTTTATCACGATACTCGCAGCGAAGATGCCGTTCAGAGCATTTCGCACAAGGCGTCAGTCCATCGCACCGAATCTTGCGCATACGACATTGCTGACACGCTTTGGGGATTCTCCAGGAAGCTCCACTGCCTTTGAATAACATGGTAGTTCCGGAGATGCCCCTGGAATACCTTCTCGCAGGACGGTGTCTTGTTTCACCAGACTTGGTGTCTGCCAGTGATGTATTCTGACATATGCAGCTGTATCATCAGGCTGGGAGGATTCCTAGATTATATCAATGATAACGTAAAATGGCCCATACATGGGCTATCACGGTTCCTCTGTACAAAACACCGGCTGTAGTGGCGACCCCACAGGGATGCAAAGGGTGACGGATATACGGAAAAATTCTCTCGCACTCTCCGTTCCTATTGATCAGATTTCTTGCCACGGCTGAGAACGGATTCAAGGCATACTCCCGAACCTTCTAGTAAAGCAGGTCTAGCCCCCATGCCAGAGGCGCTCAACTGCGGTAGATGAGTGAGTAGACTATACTCCTTCTGGAACTGAACGATGAACATAACTACGACTATCTTCGCAGGATTTTCGTGCAGAATCTATTCCTGATTCGTTCTAGTCACCTGCGGCCTTGAGTGGACAGTGGCCAAATACCAGGGGCAACTTTCTTGATCATGATGACTGTTCAATACTAGACATTTCGGAACATTGAGCAGAGACCGTTCTGTCGGCAGTTGTCATGTAGGCAGTAAGATTTATTGGACAGGGTTTTATTAGTTTTATTAAGGTATCACTCTCGGAGAGCGCGATCAGAGGTAAAACTTCCGAAATTCCATAACGCCTCTAATCACACCCTCATTTGGATCCGCTGGCAGACTCTCAAGAAAGAGCGGAGTTATTTGTATCGCTTCAGGAAGTCCAGTAGCCCCGTTAACACCAAATACCAGCGCAGCCAATTACCACCATAATCCCTGAGCGAGCATATAAACCGCTGGGGTATGGATTCACTTCGAATCTGACAGAAAAGAAAAAACCGTTCAAAACCTAAAATGCAGTACCGAGAGGCTCGTACAGCGCAAAGTTTGGGGCATTCAGGGCGATCCGGTACATCGCCCACGGCGAGAGAATATTGCCGTCTGCTGTTGTAGAGACATCTTCTGACACGATTTGCAGCCCATCTGCCTCAGTCTTTCGCTGGTCAAGAGTCCCGCTGTACGTTGTGTTACTTTCCGCGATCATACATGAAGAGGGGCTCATTTGAAATGGAGGTCCGACGTCTGGCGTGATGACAGAGCTCATGTATGTCGGGCAATCAGGCAGTGATGATATGCTGGGCGAGAAGCCGAAAGATGATGGCGAGTACAGGAAATCCGAAAATACACTGCCGGTATCCCCGTACCATTGGTTAGGGCACGATTGTACGTCGGTGTTCGGTTGGATTGTGTCTAGGTATCGATCTTTCCTCTCGTCTTCCTTTTCGGTGCACTCCTCCCGTAGCTGCAGGGGGGTGGGAGGTGTTTTGGGTGAATCCTCGGTTGGCGCATCATATATACCCAAATTGTATAATATGTCATTCACGGATAATGGTCGATCGCTAGCTATCCGTTTCATGCTTCCTCCTGTGACCGTTCGTTGGTAAAGCTCTCGCAGGCCACGGACGAGCAGTTCATGTTGGTCTTCGATGAGTTGCACATAACTAGAAGATTTAGTTCATGCTAGCGTATATAAAGTATGAACGTCATTCGTGGCATACCTCTGTGTTAACACCCGATGTCTTTTTGGTTTATCCTCTCGATAGATACAAACGGCGTTTGTGGCTTTGCAGGACTCGCATGGAGCGTCTCCACTGCACTAAAAGAATGTCAGCTATATACTAGATATTTAACCGGGGATATATAATACTCCTACTCTTGATTTCTTCACTTTGCATCGTTGACACGCCTTTGTCACTCGTTTGCGGGAGCAACGTGCAGATATGTCGTGCGAGACCATTGTCTTGGATCGTGATTTCCTTCGGAACATGGTTTAGAAAACAAAGTTACTTGCGAAGGGGAAGACTGCTGAATGATCTTGATTAATATAAAGCTAGATTCAATACTACCCCTAAACGCTACAAACTAGTTGGCAACATGCAACTTATGACTTAACTCCCCGAAAGTTTCGTGTCGATCTAGATCTACGGGATTTCGGCTCCCAAGGTTCATATGATATGACCTACATAGGGTTTCACCGAATAACCTACATGGGATCCTTATGGTGAACGCCCTGCGATAGTAAGATCCACTCCATAGTCCTGTAGGGGCTGATGTGACTAGGCCACAAATGCTCAATGACAAGATATCCAGAGGTCCCACCAAGTGGCTTCGCAGGCGTATAAACGTCCGTCTATAACGGTATTGGGCGATTCCTTGACGATCCGTGGCAATTTCTTCTAGCTGTGACTGGGTTGCGGGACATCCGAAGCCGTACTTGCGTCTATCCGGCGGGACGTCGTTTTCCATCTTTGGTTTGACTTTCCGACCAGCTCAGAGCCAACAACATATTGTCGTGACAATTCATTTCATCTTAATCAAAGCTTTCATGGCTTCTTTCCGGCATTTGCCTCGTAGAATGCTGTGATCTCAATGGTCGCATCCCTTAAATGATGTATTGACGTGTAGAAAAGTGTATCGACCCACGGTTAAGCCCATTGACCTATCGATAGGTTTTTGATACTCGAGGATGTTGGCAACGGATGGGAGAACCGAACCCGAATCAACCTTACAAAATTAATCTATATCCACAGAGTAGCTGGATGAAGCCGGAGGTTTTGCCACTGGGACTCCCTTGCCCCAATGCACGTCTCGTAGGGTCACTATTCTATTCCATGTAGCCAAAGTAGGCCACAGCCTTGCCGTGCTGACAACTAGTGCTGACTCCAAGATCAACAACTGCAATCTTACGGCTTCCAGGATGGCTATGCTCTGGTGTGTTCGCCCGCCATGATGAAGAGCAGATCTGCACCTCCATCGGATCACCACGGGTCATGTATGTCTGCCCGTTATGCCAGATTGCCAGGCTATTGCAGCAAGAGTTGCCCCTATTGGATGCTAGTTGTGGAAGGTGAGTGTAGAAGGTATGTATGATGAGGAATAGGCAACCGCGGAATGACTGTCTGAGTATCGGAAAACAAATCCACATTATCCAGAAAACGATCTCACAAAAAGGTGGTATCATAGTACCACATGCTCTCTTGCCACTATTTTCCTCCTCCCGGTAGCCTACCGTGTCTGCCTCATGCAGAAGTAGGGGAGATTGAAACGGATGGTGGCAGCTGGGCTGGAACATAATTTAAGTTCTATAAGTGACCCACCCCGACGCCTTGAGGATGCTAGGAAATTAGCCACCGCTAATCTGCCTATCACTTCGACGACTATAAGAATTTTTGATATACGGATGCGGATGTACGGATAACTTCATGCGGGACCGAAATGTGCTCGACATTTCTAAGCTTTTCTAGATCGACCGCGGAAGAACGGATGATGGTAACTCGGAACAGACGATCCTGCAATAGACAGTCCGTAGCATATATAGCGTGTTTCGAAGACCAGTATATAGTCGAGGCTCTGGCCGGCTGAGAGATATCAATCCTAGTTCATGTTCATCTCGAATAATCAGTCAATCGCTTGTCAGCAATACAGCGAGCATGTCTGAGGATTCGTATCCAAAAGAGGAGCATATCCCAGCCGTCCCCGGCTCTGACGGTTCAACAACACCGACCGGGTATGTGGAGGCTTCCAAAGAGGGCCATGTGCCACCATTAGGAACGCACAAAGAGGTCACTGTGACATGGCGACAGCTATCAGTCCTCGTGCCAGCTTCGGAGGCCGTCCATGGCGATACCCTCTGGTCTGAGGTCGACCCTCGGGAGTTGGTCCGGAAGTTCCAGAAGCCAAATAAAATGGTATTTTCGTCACCTTGACTCTGAGAGAAGAAATCACTAAACGTCTCTAGGCCATCCTTCAAGATATGAATGGACAGCTTCGCCCAGGAGAAATGGTCTGTATTCCCTTGAATTGAGAGTATCATAAACATCGCACTGACCAAGATAGATGCTGGTGCTCGGACGGCCAGGTGCGGGCTGTACATCGTTCCTCAAAGTAGTATCCAACGACCGAGATGGCTTTGATCACATCGGTGGCGACGTGCATTATGGAAGTATGGATCACAAGGAGGCTGCAAAGTTCCGTCAGCAGTTCATGTTCAACAACGAAGGTTCGCTTCCACTTATCCAGAATCTACTGAGGAAGAAACTGATTGAGTGTTCATGAATGTCGACTAGATGATGTCCATTTCCCCACCCTGACGGTTGATCAAACGATCAAATTCGCGCTCCGTAACAAGACGCCTTCGATCAAACCCGGCAATCTGTCCGACAAAGGTTTCGTGGAGAGTATGCGGGATGAGATCTTGGGATCGTTGGGAATCCTCCATACAGGCAAAACACTGGTGGGAAATGAATTTGTTCGGGGAGTGTCAGGCGGAGAGCGAAAGCGTGTCTCCCTCGCCGAAGTGATGGCTGGCCAGGTATGTCCATCGCATGCCTGGAAGATTCTAGCAACTGGAGAGATCTGACAGCTAACACTTCTATAGAGCCCGGTGCAATGCTGGGACCAGTCTACTCGTGGCCTTGACGCCAGCTCGGCGCTGGATTTCGCCAAACACCTCCGCCGCACGGCGGACGAGCAGAGGAAGACGGTCTTTGCCACCCTCTACCAGGCAGGAAATGCCATCTACGACCAGTTCGATAAGGTCATGGTGATTGCAGGCGGATATGTCATCTTCTATGGGCCTCGCCACCTCGCGCGACCCTACTTTGAAGAAATGGGGTTCGTGTGTCGTCGTGGAGCCAACATTGCCGATTTCCTCACGGCCGTCACGGTGCCCACGGAGCGAACCGTTCGCGCCGGTTACGAAGAGAAGATACCCAAGTCAGTGGTGGAGTTTGCAGCCCGTTACAAGGAGAGTTCCGTCAACCAAGCAATGGTAGAGGAGATCACACCCCCCTCTCAGCTTCAAGAAGAGAGCCGCTGCTTCAAAGACTTGGTGGCAAAAGAACTGATGGGCAAAGAGGGCAATCCCAAGAGCGTTTACACGGTGCCCCTATGGGAACAGGTCATCGCTTGTACGATTCGGCAAAGTCAAATCATCTGGGGTGATCGCCTGTCTCTCGCCGTCAAGGTGGGATCGACTCTGATCCAAGCCCTGGTTTCCGGGAGTCTCTTCTACAATCTGTCGGACACCAGTCATTCCATGTTCCTGCGACCCGGTGCGCTCTTCTTCCCAATCATGTATTTCTGTATGCAGGCTCTTGGAGAGACGACTTCCTCGTTCATGGGCAGACCCATCCTGTCCCGGCAAAAGCGGTTTGCATTCTATCGTCCAACGGCCTACTGCGTTGCCAGTGTGATTACCGATATCCCCGTGGTGCTCTTCCAGGTGACCTTGTTCACCATTGTCTATTACTGGATGTGCAACTTTCAGGCTGACGCGGGCAAATTCTTCACATTCTGGATCGTCCTCAATGTCTCGACACTCTGCTTCATCTCCTTCTTCCGCATGATTGGCGCGAATTGTTCCAAATTCGGTAACGCATCAAAGTTGTCCGGCTTCTTCACTACCATCATGATGATCTATACCGGATATCTGATCCCCTTCCAGAAGATGCACGTCTGGTTCCGATGGGTCTTTTGGATCAACCCAGCCTCGTACGCCTTTGAGAGTGTAATGGGCAATGAATTCGGCGGCTTGAACATCAAGTGTGAAAGCCCAGACTATATTCCTTACGGTGCAGGTTACACTGACGACCGGTATCGGGGCTGTACAGTCGCTGGGTCTATTGGGGATCACATCCCCGGTGCCGACTACATCCATGACGAGTATTCCTACTCGATCCATCACGTCTGGAGGGGATTCGGTGTTTTGGTCGGAATGTGGGCCTTTTTCGCCTTCCTTACCGCAGTCGGCTTCGAGAGACTTCGCAGCCAAGGCACGTCGTCTTATCTGGTGTACAAACGCGGCAGTCAGGGGCATCACCGAGATGAAGAGGGTGCCTTGACAGCGCCACCGGCGGGGGCAGACTCCGAACCTGATCAGAACATGCCAAAACAAGCTATCTTTACGTGGGACCATCTCGACTATTTTGTGAACTACCAGGGATCAAAGCTCCAGCTCTTGAACCAGGTCTTTGGCTTTGTGAAACCGGGCAGCCTGGTCGCATTGATGGGATGCTCTGGTGCAGGTAAAACTACGTAAGTCAATTCTCCTCACCAGGCATGGTGACCCTTCTCCGATACTCGACAGCTGAATTTACTGTTCCTATGTTATAGACTTCTGGATGTTCTCGCTCAGCGTAAAGATTCGGGAGAGATCACCGGCTCCATTCTGGTCAACGGTAAACCCCAGAATATCAGCTTCCAGAGGACGACCGGTTACTGCGAGCAGCTTGATGTCCACGAACCAACTGCGACTGTCAAAGAGGCCTTGATCTTTTCTGCTTTGCTTCGCCAACCGGCTCACATTCCTAAGCAGGAGAAGATTGACTACGTGGACAAGATCATTGACCTGCTGGAGCTGAACGACATTAGTGATGCGCTCATCGGAAGTAAGTAGACCTGTTCAGGAAAGATGAACCCACCAGCTAACTTTAGCATCAGCTCCTGGGGCCGGTTTAAGCATTGAACAGAGAAAGAGAGTGACACTCGGCGTTGAATTGGTGGCAAAGCCTTCTTTGTTGCTCCTCGACGAGCCTACTTCCGGGCTGGATGGCCAGTCTGCATTTAACATCGTTCGATTCATGCGAAAGCTGGCAGACGCTGGACAGGCTGTTTTGGTAAGTATCCTCTGTCTGACCTCTGCCGTCGAATCAAGCCTGACACGCCATAGTGCACGATCCATCAGCCCTCCGCTTCCCTGTTTGATGCATTCGATTACCTTCTGTTGTTGGCCAAAGGTGGTAAGATGACGTACTTCGGTGAAAGTGAGTACAATTCCCCTAGTCAAAGGATTTTTCATGGAAGTTAGCTAAACGCAATCTAGCCGGTGAGAATTCTCAAGTGATCCTGGACTACTTCGCCCGAAACGGTGCCCCATGCCCGGACGATATGAACCCAGCAGAGCATATTGTAGATGTTGTGCAGGGTCGGCTGAACCCTGAAGTGGACTGGAACCAAGTATGGGACCAGTCCAAAGAATGCCGGTTAGCCCTCGAGGAACTGGAAGCCCTTAAGCAAAAAGCGGCTGCCGAAGCCATCGAGGAGGAAGACCTGGTGGACTATGCTACCCCAAAGATGTATCAGCTCCGATTGGTGTTGGAGCGCCAGATGGTCAAGCTTTGGAGGAGTCCGGTAAGTCCTCTCATACTTCTGCAAGACCAAGCTGCTAAACCTGCCAGGACTACATTTGGAACAAGATCATCCTTCACGTTTTTTCGGCTCTTTTCAGTGGCTTCACATACTGGAAAATCGGAGAGTCGGTCCTGGACCTGCAACTACAATTGTTTGCCATCTTCAACTTTGTGTTTGTTGCGCCGGGTGTCATCAATCAGCTGCAGCCCTACTTCCTTCAAAATCGAGACATTTTCGAGACCCGTGAGAAAAAGGTATGCATCCCCCACATATTTCGCTTTCCAAACATGCTGACACTATATTAGTCCAAAACGTACCATTGGATTGCATTTATTGGTGCACAAGCGATCTCAGAGATGCCCTATCTGGTGGTTTGTGGAACGTTGTATTTCCTCTGCTGGTACTTCACAGTGGGCTTCCCCAGCGTGGCAACCATTTCCGGTCATATGTACTTCCAGATGATTTGTAAGTGCTGGAGCCTGTTCACCGAAGGGATTAAAAGTACTAATGCTGAATCCAGTGTATGAATTCTTGTATACGCCCATCGGGCAGGCCATCGCGGCATACGCTCCTAACGAGTACGCCGCCTCGCTGGTGAACCCCCTGATTCTGGGATCAGCTCTGGTGGGCTTCTGCGGTGTGGTCGTGCCCTATCCCGACATCAACGTGTTCTGGCGCTACTGGATGTACTACCTCGACCCCTTCACCTACCTCATCGGGGGCCTGCTCGGCGAGGTACTCTGGGATAGCCCCGTGCATTGTGGTGAGAAGGAGTGGGTGAACATTGCCCTTCCGGCCAACGAGACCTGCGGTTCCTATATGGGTACATTCGTTGAAGCTGCGGGCGGTTACATCCGGGATGCAGATTCCCAGACTTCCTGCCAATATTGTCAATACGCGAAAGGATCGGAATATGCGCTGCAATTCAATCTGAAGGCCGAGTACTATTCCTGGAGAGATGTACGTTACTCCCCTTTGCCACTGATCTTACAAGGAATAAGACTGACATTATGCTATGACAGACCGGAATCACCGCATTGTTCTGCATTAGTACGTACGTGTGCGTGTTTCTCATGATGAAACTTCGCAGCAAGAAGACCAAGACTGCTCGTTCGGAATAGTTCAACGTCAACAATATCTAATCGGCTATCGCTATCTCGACTTTCTCTCACTCACTATCCATATCTTGAATTACTCCTGAGCTATTCTGTAGGTGAGACCGACCAGTCTCATACTACGCTCAAGTCCTTCCCTCTCCTTTTTTTTTCTTAACATTTCTTTTTCTTGTCTTTTGTATAATAGATCGATCTTTTGGACTACACCTTTTCCTTCCACTACTTCTTCTGTCAGACATGCATGTTGTTTATTGTTAATAGATCGTTTTGTCTGAGTCAATATATAGTTAATATACAATACATGTTTTTGAAGCCTTTATCCTTCTCTCATCTTTATTCCCCGCAGCGAGTGTCTATCATGTATGATTCCTGTCATAGGGACTAGCTACTACTGTTACTATCATCAATAATAAACTTCCATGGGAGATGACCCTTGAAGGTGCCGATATATACTAGATCTGGGGGCTTTATATACATTCCATTCACGATGTCTCCCCCAGGGTATAATAATATAGAGGGAACTTGCGGTCTAACAATGTGGTCCCACAAAAGATGAAGTGGAGAAGGAAGTCCAATCGTGCCATGGATACCTCCATGCTTATTAGACTTACCTGTATGTTGTGGGGTATTTCTGGCACCAGGCTGATAGACGGTCTAATGCCTCGAATGCTATCACTCCGACTGCGCGATCTCCACAAGTGTTAGGCACAGATTTGAGTGGTAAGCTACAGGGCGGGCCCATTGCGGAGCGGGTTGCGGGACGGATCGATGAAGGCTTGAGAAGAACATGAGGCGGGGCCATGTCGGGCATCACATTCTTGCTCAAGGCTTCAATGCTTGCGGTGTGCTCTGGGGTATGTGCCAGGCTGTCAGCTATCTGCACGGGTGTTACCTCGGCCATTGGCCAATGCGTTGTTTTGATCATGCGGAGAACAATTGACTCGTGATACATTGCCGGGCCAACTAGACCAAAAGTTATATATACCTGTATCTCCTATCAATACAACGATGCTCGAGATATCAATACTATCAGACCCGCATCAGCATCATCAGTCAGAACCAGTTTCTCTAGCGACATTTCCAGTAATTCTCCCTTTAAACGGAAGGAAAATGACCGAAACATATCCAGTAGCGATCATCGGAGGAGGCCCAGTTGACCTGGTATCTTCGATCCTGTTATCCCAGCAAAGAATCCTTCATGTGGTGTTCGAGCGTCATCCATTAACCTCAATTCATCCGAAAGCCTGTGGCATGAATATGCGCACCATCGAGGTCTTCCGCCAACTGGGTATCGAAGATCAAGTCCCGGAACAGCGCGCACCACCCGAGATTGTGAGCCGAACAGCCTGGTACACCAACCTTGGACTCAATGGTCTAGAGATTATCGGACGGGACGTGTGGGGAGGAGGGAAATACGTGGACGAATACAAACGGGCAAGCCCTTGCCAGTAGGTCGTAATCGCCCAGATCCGCCTGGAACCTATCCTGCTTCAGCATGCCAAGAAGTTGAATTCGCATGGGATCCACCACGGGGTGGAAGTAACGGACGTTGAGGAGGATGGTGACCATGTGAGCTTGACCATCTGTGCGAAGGGCAAGTCAGAGGCTCGCAAAGTCAAGGCCCGCTACGTCGTCGGGGCAGATGGTGGACGGGCATTGACCGATAACCTCGGAATCAAGTGGGAGGGAGAAAAGGACATTGTAGAGCTGGTCTCGGCGCATTTCAAAGCACGCATCAGTTTGCATCACCCGGACCCTCGGGTGTTCATCACCTGGTTTATTGACCCAAAGCAAGGCGGGAGCATCAAAACGGGGTATCTCTACCACCTTGGTCCGTATCCAAGCATACCAGACAGAGGAGTGGTTATTCGCGTGCGCAATCAATCTCGATGAACCCAAAGAATTCACGGCGGAGGACACGGTCAAGAGAATGCACAGCACCTTCAGATCCCGAATCTGGAGGTGGAGATCAAAAGCATCGATCATTGGCGCGTTTACAGCATTGTTGCGGAGCGATACCGAAGTCCCAAGGGCTGCATCTTCGTCATTGGCGACTCTGCTCATCGTATACCGCCATGGGGAGCTCTTGGCTTGAACTCGGGGATTCAAGATGCATACAATGCGATTTGGAAACTTGGCATCGCCGTGCGAGGCGAGGATGCGCCACGCTGGGACGGTCTACTCGATACATATGAAACAGAGCGTCATCCCATCGCGCTACGCGTTGCACGGACGAGCCTGCACAACCTGAGGTCACATTCGTCCGTCATGGATCGAGCATTGGGATTCACACCCCAGCATGATAATGAAACCAACGTCAGAGCCCTCCAGAGCTTTTTCAACCCTCTAGACGCTGATTATTATGCCCGGCGTCGAGCGGTCTACATGGCTCTGGAGACCCTGGACAGCGAGTTCCACGCGCTGGGTGCGGAAACCGGTTGGTTTTACCCGGATATCGACAGAGAAAGTCAGAGGAGTTCTCCGGATCATGGTGGGCAACTTCTTCCAAATGACGAGTTGGATTGCATAGAATATTATGCCTCCATCTTACCAGGTCACAATTTGCCTCATGCATGGCTCGAAAGAGACGGTGTCACTCTTTCGACCCGAGATTTGCTCCTACCTGATAGGTTCTTGTGGCTCACATCGGAGCCATACTACGGACCCCATGTAGTGAAAATCATTGAAAGGGCTTGCCCAGCTTTAATTCCGTAAATCCGAAAGCCCGTCACATCCCCCTCGCTAGACCTCCTTGCGTTGTGCGGGACGTGTCCCGCCGTTTTATCCAACATTGCCACAATGAATCGTTAATAAATCGTTATTAAATAGAGCACTTTTCCCGCAAGTAAGTGCACCTAAGCTTTAGTGCCGATTCGAGATTCCCCCTTTTTCTTTTTCTAGCACAATTTTGGCCATCACGTCACAAAAATGTCTTGCGCGACCGACGAAATCTTAATCCACTCTAATATCAAGTCCCTCCTCGTCCGCGAGAGATACTATCGAGATACGTGTCAATGGCAGAAACTCCGAGACTGCTACCACCCTGATGCGTCGCAGACACATATTGAAATTACCTGGTAAGGACTTTAGCTCCTGAGGCAATCCTGCAATGTTGCTAAAATTAATCTAGGTACCAGGGAGACATCAATGGCTTCGTACGCGGATCCGCAGACATGTCCGCCAGGGGAACCGGAGCCGTTCACACGATCTGCCCGATAGAAGTGCACTTGAACGGAGACAAAGAACAAGCCCTTACTGAATCAACCGGTTCCATTTCTATTCGGTTTGTCTACGAGGGTCGGCAGTATGACTGCGTCTCATACACGCGATTCATCTCTCGTCTACAGATCGTGGACGGGCAGTGGAAGCTCCTGACTCTGGAGGCGATCTATGATCGGGATAATATCGTCCCTGTTTTGCCTGGTGCACCGGCGGATTTTCACATTGCTCACGAGACGAGGGAGAGCTATAAATGTATTTCTTGGCTATTGGCCCGGAAGGGGTTCAAGATTAAAGAGGACTTGCCTGGGGGAGATTATCCTGCTTCGTGTGAGAAGTTGATGCGGGAGGGCTTTGAGTGGTTGAACAAATAGTGTGTCTGTTGGGTCGGATCCAGACTCAATGAAATAAAAATAGAGCTTCGTTCACAGTTTTTGATTCTGATATTCACCCTTTACATGATCACTTTGTTTTTGATCTTTAATAAAGAAATCCTATAATAAGGAATCCTCATCTATTACGTATGTAGAGCCTTTCCCATAGCCTAGATATTTGCATACTTTCAAATCTATGATTGACACTCATCATCCACTTCACTCCCTCAATTTTCCAACCTCTGGCTCGCTCGTAGCTGGTTAGGCTATAGCAATGTCCTACCCAGGCATGCGGGTATTAGGGTATTCGGGTATTGGGAATCCGGGTATTCGGGATGACCCACTCTGCCGACTGGAGTGTAGTCCCAGATACTCGGAAGTCCAAGCTATAAATATGCAATTGTTCCTTCATCGCTGCTCAATACAGCCCGAAATCTATCGTCAATATCATGCCTTCCAAGATAGTCATTATTGGTGCAGGCTTTGCCGGCGTCTGGAGCGCACTCTCGGCCAGACGTCTGGTCAACTCCAGGGACAGGGCAAACGACATTGAGATTCTCGTCATTGCTCCAGAGCCAGTGCTGGTGATGCGTCTACAACTGTACAAGTCTAAGGTTTCCAGTTTGGTTCAACCTCTGGAAACCCTCTTCCATGAGGCTGGCATCAAGTTTTATCTGGGATCGTTCATTCAATCCACACTGAGAGTCATACTATTAACGTCGAATGCAACTCTGGCGTCGATCAACTATTACCTATAACCCGCCTGATTCTCGCCGCTGGAAGTTCTATTGTGCGGCCTCGGGCCATCTTCGGCCTGCGCCAACATGCCTTCGACATCAACTTTTTAGATTCCGCCATCAAACTGGAATCTTATCTTAAGAATCTTGCTTCATGTTTAGTAAGCCCTAGTCGAGACACCGTGGTCGTCTGCTGCGCCGGCTTTACAGATATTAAGCTGGCAGTCGAACTACTATAACAACTCCGCCATATTACCAACGCACGTATTATCCTTGTCATCAACAATAATAATAATATTGCGCTCAGTTTCGGATATGATCCTCGCTCTATTATAGTACAAACATAAAACGTCCTCGGAGTTGAGATAAATCTCGGATTCGGAGTGCAGGCCATCAACATTAAAGATATTACCTCAACGTCCGGCGAGTATATTCGAACCGAAAAGGCGATCTGAACTGCGGGGGCCGCTTACAGGGCAGATTCCGGAGTCTAACGATGCTCTATCCCGTCTTCATATCGATGGGTATCTCTGCGTCCCGTCCGTTGGTGGTGTCTTCGCTACCGGTGACGCCGCCTGTGCGCTCGCTATAGAAAAGATCAGTATGCGTTGATGTACTGCCAGCATGCGCTGCAGCTGGGTCGTGTATCCGGGTACAATGCTGCAGCGAAGCTGCTGGGAAAGCCCCTTTTAGGGTTCAAGCAAGCTGCGTATAATTACTGTAAGGGCCCTGCGAGCCCTTCCAACCTTCGCGATTGATATCGCGAAGGAATGTATATAAAATAAGGCCTAAGGCATCAGCCACATGACAGCTAAGCAAGGAATGGCCGCAGAACCACCCAAGGCAGCGGCAGTCCCGCAAAGTTAGGTAGATCAGCAACAACATCTTAAGGCATAATACTACCACCTTGGCTACCGCGAAGGATATTCGTTCACTACACTATTTCACCCCTTTAGCCCCTATAATTACTGTCTTAATCTTGGACCTTGAATAAATCTAAGATTAAATAAAGCGGATAGATATAAATAAAAATATAAAATATAAAATGAATCAAATCTTTAACTTTTATATATGTTGGAAATAATGAATATACTATATTAAATAGAAAGATTCGGTCGGGTAAGAGAAATCGGACCTAACATTTAGCTAATGATCTAAAAAAAAGGACTATTATTAATTAAAGGATTTTATATAATATATCTAATTAGTTTGGACTTTTTAAAATATATCTTTATCTAACTAACAGCGGTTAGATGAAATAATTTTAATCCTAATTATTTTAATAATAGTATTTTTATACCGTACCGGAAAGCTTACAACTGTTAGTTATTATTATAAAAAATAAAAAGACTAATTCAAAAACTTTTTTTATTTATGGACAGTTAAGTCTATAACAAAAGATAACATAAAAATAACTTTTATATAATCCAATGAATTTGGTTGATTTTAAAACTTGGCCGGAGGATCGGTTCGCAATCACTTGTGGAATCCCACAGAGCTCGAAGAATAGATTCGAAACCTCGAACCCTCGAACCCTCGAACTCTCACAGATACACTATATCGCTTGGGCTACAAGCCCGGTCTTTGAAAATGGCCCGTGGAGAGTAAACGGATATGTTTATGAGATAACAAACCTCTCAAATCGAATCTGACTGACTGCGGGCCTGCCCGGAGTCATCCTCACGGTAGTTAACTAGGCCTTATTAGGTAATTCCCGAAATATTCGGTCCGTAACCGAGACTAACTAAGGTCGGTATGTCCGGCATCCGTCCTCGGAGGTCGACAATCTCTCCCGCCAAATCAAGCGGTGCTTCGAGACCGCCGGCGTCCATTGACAGTCGACCGGATAGGTGGATTGTAAGGACAGACCAGGAAAAGAGTGCGCTACATCTACCATCCATCTACTGGTCATAGCCGGGTCATAAGGGAATCAAGTTGCGGACAAGGCTGTCCGGCACTGCACTGTCGCATCTAACCGTAAGCCCAGCCGAGCCCAGCCTGTCGGGAATGGCCATAACAGGAAAGTCCCGACTTCGCCTGGTATGGACGAGCGTGATGATAGACCAAATCCTTGTCGACTTTCCCATATACGAGCTGTTGGGGAAGGGAAACATGATTTCCTTCTAAACTAACTTGCCCAGGTAAAACAAAGCAGTATGAGCCGCTGGCTATTAAGCTCCTTTTCGTAGTCGATTCCGGAACTTGCCCTTCCTAGCGAGTGCCGCGCAGGGGATAGACAGGCAAGCCAAAAGGAGAGCCAAGATAAAACTGCAAAGTTCCAGCATCACTTCGCATTTCCACCGTGCATTCTTTCTATGTGGCACTTTTCGCCTTCTTTTCTTTCTTTGTGACTTCCTTACTTGTGGGAACGATGCCCGGTTGCGCCCTTGTAACCGGCTGTAGCGCCGGCGGAATCGGCTCGGCTCTGGTGGAAGAACTGCACGCCCCAGGGATGACAGTCTATGCTACTGCTCGCTCCCCAGCCAAGATGGAGCATCTTGCTAAACTTCCTAATGTTACCCTCGTAGCTCTCGATGTTGTCGATCCGATCAGCCTTGCCGCTGCTGTCAACACCGTTCGACAGGATTTGTCTTCTCACGGTGATACCCTTGACATCCTCGTCAATAACGCCGGCCAATCCCTTGTTTACCCCGCGCTAGACACCTCTATTGACAAGGCCAAGTGTCTGTTCGATGTCAATTTCTGGGGTGTCCTCGCTATCACCCAGGCTTTCATGCCACCCTGCTGCTGGTCCCCGACAATGGCAGCACTATTGTGAACGTCTGCTCTATTTCAGGCTTCTTGTACGCCCCTTGGATGAGTCTGTCTTTCCCACACAAGCCGGTGCAGTAGATTTGAGGGGGGTTTACTCGCTGATACTTTGCACCAGGTGTTTACAACGCCTCAAAGGCGGCTTTAATGTCTTGGAGCGAGACCCTTCGGTTGGAGCTACAGCCCTACAACGTTCGGGTTATATCTCTTGTCACCGGCACCATCGCCACAAACATTATGTCACACGCTAACCTGACCCTGCCCGAGAGCTCACTCTACCACAAGGCGCTTCCGGAGATTCAAACACGCGGTGCCGGGAAGGATGTCTTAAACAAAAGCGCACCCGACGACTTTGCTCGCCAGGTTGTGCAGGATATTCTGGGCGGAGCCTCAGGTCCCGTATGGCGCGGAGCTATGGCTTCCTTGGTGGAGGTCGTTTCCAAATACATACCGACGGGTATTTTGGTTAGTGCCAGCGTGTGAATCCATTCTTGTGTCTCTCCACGACATGGATTGATTGCTCATATGTGTCGCATAGGATCGAGCAATGAAGCGAGGAACTGGTCTGGACAAGCTATCTTGATGGTGTTTTGAATGCGTAAAACATAACAGAACAAGATGCCTTCTGTTCAGGAGTCCAACAGCGTCCCATGGCTATGTTGTCGGCTTTACCTCGCATATATTTTTACTCCATGTGCTTGAACTACTGTGACACTACAAGATCATAATGCTGACTAGACATCTTATTGCCCAGCAGATGTGCACCACATAACATGCTTCATTTAATGGCCATGTAGCTGTGGAGGGAATAAGATAATCGCGGGGACTGGCGCGAGTGCCGTGTTAAATTCTCTTTCCTGGTAACACACCGAGCTGTGATCTCAAAAGACCAGATATGGTCTATGAGGTTCAGGCTGCTGAGTCTAAATCGGTAACTGAGCCTTACCAAGGTGCTGTTACCCAAGACTAAACAGCCGGGCAGGCGGCGTCGTACATGCACGGACAACGAACCAATCCATACATACACCCACTTTCCCCTCTACTGATGGTCAAATTTGCTTCTGGGCATAATACGTCAGAGTAACAGGGCCCAGTAGACCGACTTTCTGTGCCTCTAGAGACCCGTAGATAGCAGGCCACGTCTTCCGTAGTTTGTTCCACAATGTAGTGGCAACTGTGATCTTAATGTCTGCCGCTCGTCACGTCAGCAAAAGCTCTACCACTCAAGGCTGACAGTACATACCATTGGGGCCATTCTTCACGTAAGAAGTAATTTCTAGAGGCACCGAGCGTAGGAAGTCAACTCCATTGACCTGGACATTGTTGATCTTCAAGCCCCAACACCCCCCCCCCCCCATCACCGAAGTTGATAAAGACCGCAAGATCCTCTCCAGAGCTCTGATTTGACGACCCCGAGGATAATCTCACAGTGGTTTTATAAGTTCCAATGCTACTTGCACTCTCCAGTCCTGAAATATTAGTCCAAAACTTGAGGCTGTTCAAGTGGATGCTCGGTAAAGTAATCTTCGAAGTCAAAGAAGAACCGAGCCCAGTTTCATTGACGATAGAAGGAGACCAGTCTTCAACGGATAGAACCCAAGAGCTGAGAGCAATTGGAGATGGCACATTGCTGAAGGCAACACTGACGGACTTTCCGTTTGAAAGTTTTGCAGTGTGGGTTCCATTCTTGCTGGTTCTCAAATGTATAGTCTGCGACTGAGCATAAACATCAGCATCGGTCGCAGCGATATACCTGTTGGGATTGGGAAGGCCGTATGGGTTTTTCTTTGCCGAGGTAGAGCACTTGCGCCGCATTCTCGCCTAGGACAGGTTGACTCTGGTGCACCCATTAACTGTGTCAAATGCAGCGATGGGCGTAACGCCCCCAGTCCAGAGGTTGAGCATGAGCGGATAGCCCTGTCCTTCTAGAGAAACTGTCTCGGTAAGCGTGACAGAGCTGTAGACAAAGTAAACGGCCTCGGAATCGCTGACGCGACGTCTGGTGGTGATTGTGGACACGTTAGATGACGTCGAGTACCGGACAGATGGCTTGACGCCAAGGGATCTGAGAGCTGCAGGAGCATCGGCCTGGGAGGAGACTTGCTTCGTTGTCTCGAGTGACAAGATTGACTTGAAGATTTCCTTTATTTGATCTTTGAGTAAAACAAAGATATTGATTAGGGAGGGTATGGATTCCCGACTGGGCTTTGTTCCATCACCGTAACCCTTGTCTTCCCTTGGGCTTTACTTTCACCACTTCAGGAGCCCCACCACTAACTATAACTCCAGCGTACATTTACCATCCGGCCTCAGCTGAGCGACTACGTCTACCACCCACGGAGACAGACCTGCGATGGCGGAACTTCCAGTCCGCCATCGCCCGCATCACAACCTTAGATCTCATCGACTGCGGGCGGATCTCGTTGGAGACGATTCTGCCGACGCATTCCGGGTACCCCAAAGGCCTGAATGACAATGACTTCAAGGATCAACAAGGGCTGAACAACAAGGACCAAGGGTTTCGATGGCTGGCGGGATGGGTCATTGCTAGTGTGCAGTGGCTGCTTCGGCCCGAGATGGGGCGTTATGTATACCAGCAATGCACGAAGCGGGAGAGGATCACTAAACGGTTGGATATGTGGAGTGGGCAACGGTGGCAGCAGTGGAAGGAACAGTTTGCGTACGCGGCAAAGGAAGAGAGGTTTGGTATACATACTCAGGAGCTGGTCGAGTTGGCGCTGGAGAAAATGATTGGGTATGAGGGTGGGGATGCATGCGACCTGTAGGGCTCAGGGGTCGACTTTGATGGATTATCTTGATTTTTACTAGGTAGACATTCAATCTCTTTGTATGGGTTATTCCTTCCAGCTTCTCCTTACTCGAACCCAGATATGCATTATATACTAGATACATATATCAATTTCATCGGATCTTGAACGAGCAGATGTGCTGGAACATCGCTGTTACGGCGACCCCGGCTGTCTAGTCACCCCGGAGAATAATCTTTTCCAACACTTCCTTCTCGCCACTGTTATCTACCAGGCTCCTGAAAACCCCGTTCGCAATCCCCAGCAGCTCCTTGGGTGCCCCAAATTCAACCGCTCTTCCGGCATCCATGACCAAGATGCGGTCGAAATCTGCGATAGTACTCAGTCGATGTGCGATTACCAGGAGCGTGGTGTTGTTGCGGCCGAACTCGGCGCGGATGGACTGCTGAATAAGGGCATCCGTCTCCATGTCCACAGCGGATGTGGCTTCGTCCAAAAACATGATTTTCGGGCGCGATACGATCGCGCGTGCGAGGCAGAGCAGTTGACGCTGGCCTTGTGACAGGTTTAGACCCCCTTCTGAGATTGGAGCAGACAACGAGGTGAATTTGTTCGTGTTTGGACGATGCGTTGGACTTGTTGTATCGGCAGCTGTAGCGATCTCTTCATCGCTCTGGGAAATGAGATGCACGCGTGCCAGAGCATCGTAGAGTTCTGCATCGGTGTACTCCTCGAAAGGGTCAAGGTTGAACCGCACAGTTCCGGAGAAAAGAACTGGATCCTGAGGAATGATAGCGAGCCGAGTGCGCAGGCTGTGCAGCGTGAGCTTAGCAACATCCAGCCCATCAATTAAAACATTACCCTCGCGGGCCTCGAGGATTCGGAACAGAGCAAGGGTTAATGACGACTTTCCAGCACCCGTGCGGCCAACGACGCCAACTCTTTGGTTCTTCTCAACAGCAAAGCTTAATCCCTTGAGGACTGGAGGCAAATCAGGCGCATATCCTACGACCAGATCCTGGACTTCCAGACGACCCTCGGTAGGCCACGCCGCGGGAGGGTCAACCCCGCCCTGGTTCTCAAGCTCGATCTTGGAATACTCGATAACTCGCTCGGTCGCATTCATACTAAGCTCGACATCCGCATAGCTCCGCAATGCCATGCCGATTGCTGTGTTGAACAGCAACCCGAAGCTAAGTGCAAACCCGGCGAGCGAGGCCGAGATATTTGGCAAACTCACAATCAGAGCCGCAGTCAACGTGGCGAATAGTGCTCCAACGACGCTCATGCGGAAGGCCAGCCAGCGGTTGAACAGCAGCATAGCCCACCAGGCTTGCGCGTGCGCGTTGATTCTCTTGTAGATCATGCCCGTATAGACATCCGCTTTGCTGAATGCGCGAATGGTGACTAGTCCCGCCAGACTGGACCCGAAATGCTCGAAGATAGGGCTCTTGGCAGTACTTTCGAGGCGTTTGACCTCTCGCGCCCCCGCCAAATATTTTAGGGCCAGGCTGAGACACACGATCAGGAGGATCACGGCGAGGATGATCACCAATGGACTGACCATAACGCCTGCCACCACGATCCCGCAGACATTAAGCATTTGCGTCACCACAAAGGCCAGCTGATATCCGATGATTGAATCCACGGAATTGAAGTCGGATGTGAAACGGTTCAGGATTCGACCCAGTGGTACAGTGTCCAGCCAGCGCATCGGGGCACGGAGCACGGCGTATGTCAGGCGGTTGAAGAGATTGCGGGCTGCGCGGACACTCATCGAGAGGATCAGGTAGAAGCGCAGGGTGCCCATAGCGCACGCAAGCACACTGACTGCGATATAGATGCCCAAATACATCTTGAGCTCCGAGTCTAGGGGCGCTGCGTTGACATTCGATATAGGCTGTTGCCACATAACCATGCTGTACTGCTTAAGGCTGACATGGGATTGCGATGACGAGCCAGTCCACACGTTAATCCACCATGACTATGGTAATCAGCATTGTCAGTCAGTCTGCGTATGACAGAATATAATGAAACCGAAGAAGATGCGTGTTGATACTTACCCTGCCGACCAAGAAGGAAGTGTATGCAAGGAAGACAATCGCCGTGATGTACCATCGAAGTCTGTGGCCACCGATAGAGAAATAGGCCTTGTAAACTGAAAATTGGACCGAGCCAACCTCTCGCTTTTCGTCCTCTACAAACTTCTTCGCCGCTGCCGGCTTGGCTGTCGTCTCCTGTTGTACGGTACTAAGTCGCCGATGGGAGGTGTGGGAAATTACCTGCTCCACGGATTCCTCTTCGAGGAGCGCCGTCTCATCACCGCCATCTCCCTCATGCAGAGGGTGCCCTGGGTGATTTGACCGTTTGTCCTCAGTGACTAGGCCAGCATAGCGGACGTATCCATCTTCCAATTCCACCCAATAGTCCGCGCGAGAGAGGCACAGGCCAACATGATGCGTCACCAGAATGCGCGTTCTGCCTTGGCAAAGCTCACCAGTGAGTGCGTTTTCGTAGACATAACGGCCTGTATGGGCATCCAAAGCACTGAAGATATCATCCATGATGAGGATGCCCGCACGAGAATACAAGGCGCGTGCAAAGGAGACTCGCCATCGCTGGCCACCACTGAGATTGACCCCGTTCGCTCCGATATCGGTCAGATCGCCATCGGGCAGCATCTCCAGGTCCTTCTGCAGCGCGCACGCAGAGATAGTCTTCCGGTAACGCGCTTCATCGTAGGGCAGTCCGAATAAAATATTATCCTTGATTGTTGCATTTTCAATCCATGGGATTTGAGCGACATAGGCAATGGCTGAATCGATGATCCAACTGGCACTTGTAGCCCGTTGATCGAACCGATCTTCGATGGGAGGTGGTACGGGCACATGTACGGTTCCCTGAAGCAAGTCACCTTCCCCGAGGATGGAAGCCAGAAGCAGACTTTTGCCAGACCCAGTGCGGCCCGACACGATACTGAGGCCTTGCTTGGGAAAGGCAAGATCGAGATTGCGTAGCACAAAGCGATCAGTGTCCTCTGCGGTGCCAGCGTCCTGCTCCGATGGCCAGGCGACCGAGGCATTCTTGAACGCGACTTCGTCAGCCGGGATGGTAGTAACCACCCTTTCCGATGAGGCCATATAGGTATCAATTCGGTCCGCGCTGACCTTTGCCTCCAGCCCTTGGGAAATTATCTCTGGCAATATGGCAAGAGAAAGCTCGAGGGAACTAAAGACAGACATGGCAGTAAAGGCAACCGAGGCAGAGAGTCCACCATGGAGCATGGCATAGACTGTCAAAGAGACTGCCGAGAGACCAATAGGTCCAAGAATCCAGATGCCCATCAGGATGATGTCGAAAAAGAAAGACCTCCACAGAGCGCTCAGTTCTTTCTCTCGCGCCACCCGGATCCGAGCTTCCCACTGGGCTTCGAGGCCCGAGAACTTGATCTGGCGAATCCCCTGCAGCACCTCTGTGACAATGGCCAGCTTCTGATCTCTCATCTTCATGAGCTTGACTTGAGCGCCCGTGTAGCGTTTGGCTGCAAAGGAGTTCAGGGGCGTGACCAGAACCGCAACTGCAATGCCGGACAGAGCGCTGCGCCATCCTAGGATCTTGATCAAAAAGCCACACCCGAGGATCAGCTTGAAGATAGAGGAAGGGATGAGGTAGGCAAATGTGGTGAATTGAGTGATGCGTCTTCCGTCGACGGCGGCCAAGTTGATGATGCTCTGTCTCGTCTTTTTCACAGAGGCCTCGTCGTCAAGCTCCTCCTCGTCCTCCTCCTTGGTCCGCGATCCATTTTCTGTCGTGGCTTCAGCATTAGGCTTTTCTTTTGATTTTTGGACGTTCTTGACATCTTTCCGGCGCATTGACTTGGCGAAAACAAGGGCGGAGATCTCCGCATAGATGGGAATGAAGAGCTTCGCACACACCACCCATAACAGCCAGGCCTCAAATAGCGAGGAGATAATCATCAGGGATCCTAGGCCCACAATCCAGGAGATCGCCCGCAGGGGGTCCCAGTTGCTGCTACCTCGACCCTCCAAGGCTTGTAAGATATTGAGCAGCGCCAGCTGCGGGCCGATGCTCAAAAGACCAACCAGCAGAGTGAGAAGCAGGGTCGAGAGTATGGCTGGCCAGTGCGCCCGTACGATGGCTTGCCAAGTTTTGCGAGACTGCTTGGCTTGCTCAAAGCGAGGATGGAGGCTCTCTGCTCTTGTCTGGGCTCGAAGTTTGGGCAGATCCGTGAGGGCCAGCGTGCGGTTCTTCGCGGTGTAGTTGAGGAGGCCGCTGGCCCAGGCGAATGAATATCGACTCAAGGCAGATCCCGAAAATTCCCTGTCGATCAAAGCACCGTCGTGGAAGACATCCGGGCGACGGGGCAGCAGGATGCTCGCCAGCGCTCGTACAACGGCACTTGCAAGCTGAACTGTGGTCAGACTCAGCCACAATTGGTCGTCCGTGAGACTATGGCGAACCCGGTCATTGCTGTGAAGATCAAAGCCGCCGACCAGGATCGTGAAGATGCTTCCCAGGAAGGCGAAGTGACCCAGGGTGTATCGTTCCGTCGATCTGGGTTCCACGAAGAAGACAGCCCCTTGAAAAAGAAGTAAGAGCTGGTCAAATTAGCTGCCAGGCGAACCCAATCCCACGTCCCCTTCAGATGTGTGGTTGTACTGACCCAACCGGCGAACTGAAGCCACGCGAAGACCGGGGTCCTTGTGTGGGGTTTCGATGTTGTCAGGATGGCAAGTCCCAGAGTCGCGAGAAGCCCAGTCGAGGAGAACAGGACGATCGCGACACGCTGCCAGATATCCGAGAACTTGAGAAGTGATTCCTCCGTCGCCACACCATCCTCGTCGTGATAAGCGGCCTTTTCGGTGGCGGTGTCATCTTGTTCGGATAGGGTACGGCGGGTGCGCGCAATAATGCTTTTGACGGCGGGAATACTGCTCAAGGTGGTTAACAAGAGAGCCACGGAGCCTACGGTCAAGGCTTGGGAATTTTGCGAGAGCATCTTTGGTGTGCTCTCTCGCCGGCAAGATGCGGAAACGAGAACCCAGACCGAAGATCAAAAAAAAAAAAAAAGAAAAGCAAGGCCGGCCAGCCCTTATTGAATGCGTCTTCCCCGGGTCAAATGGCGCAAAGTCTTGTTTGGTCTTGTTTGGTGGTGGCTGACTCTCCGGCTGACTCAGAAGCAAGGATGGATTTCGAGCATTACGCAACTAGCGACTTAAGCGCTGACAAGATAAGGACTGTGCCCAATCAGCTCAAAATTCTTCATGCATTGAAATGCATTGATCTTGAGGCAGGACGTGATAGGCCGTGTATCAACCTCTTCCGTTGTTCTGGCCCTTTTCTGGGAGGTTGACTCATAATTTACCTACTCCGGAGCAGTAGTTTTCCATTTATGCTCCGCTATCTCCATGCGCATTGAGCGGTTAAGCCCCCACAGTTCCCCGTCGGAGGTCCGGGGTGAGTCGATCCTCACACCGCTGTATTTGATGCAACGATTCTGCTAGCTGCTCGTATTTATCTATTTATTGCGGGGACTTGCGCCGGTGTGAGCCATAATGACTCAGAATCTCCGACATAGCACACCGGTAAGGCTGCCTTCCCACCTAGTAGCCTGATGATATCCGAGCTTCTTGCTCTATTCTTGCTGGTTCTGACACCGTTCTAACTGTCTGCAGTCTGAGCTTATCTCGACGGCCCGTACTGCCAGAGCCCCATCCTCCCCATGATTTGAATTTATAACACGGATGAACCAAGTCACTATTGTCCAATCCAGAGATGTAAAAAGTTCTGCGATTACTCACTCGCGCGCATTGAACACAGAACCATACGCGTGCCGAGAGTGCTTCGAATGTTCAAGCCCGTTGGCTTCGTAGGGGGTCGCGGCTGGAGGCTTTCAACTCCTGACGTTCGCCACGGGTGAGAGGTAACAACTTTCCTGTGACAGGCCTTTCTTGTCTGCAGGCTTGTCAAATTGGTTTTGATTTTAGCCCATGTTTGGTGTTCTGCAGATTTATTCCAACACGCGAGCGGTAGGATGTAATGCACAGTCACCGCAGCAGCTGTACATCGTCTGACGCTGTGCTGACTCTAGGGCCTGCACACAGCGCGCGGCGGATTGCGGCAAGATCAAAGCCATTTCAAGTGGTAAGTTGCGTGTCGCACCATGTCATTCCGCGCCCTCGCCTAGTTGGTGAACTGCTATTCTTCCGTCCTTGATATTGCGACAGACCCGGCCGGTTAAGTGTGGGTAAGAGTCCAGTAAGTGAGAATGCACCAAGCGTGAAAGATGGAAACGAATGAGGGGTTATCAACAAGCTTTTTGCTTTCCGGTGGTGGTCGACGGTGTCAGTAAGTGGTCAGATGGCTCCAGGGGAAATGAACTTTGCACGCCACCTCTGCAAGGCTATCTTTGGGTGTAGATGACCATCTAAGCATCTGGGATCTGGTACTACCTAATAACATTGCCCAGTGCAGTGGTGGGGCTGGACGGGATCCAAAAGTAGCTTAGTGCGGGGTACAGTACAAACCGATTTAAAAAATGGTACATGTATACTCATGTAGATTACGCTGTATAGGATTTCGAGTCATATCAAAAAGGTCTGTGTAGCGATTGAACATATCCTGATGTAGAGCATCCAAGAGACAAACTCAGATACTCAGTTTCAAGCGGCTCACATCTGGACTACGTCATGTTGGATACTTTTGAGTCTGGCTTGCAAACGTGAAGAGTAGGTTGGTAGGCAATGTGTTTTGGGTCACATTTATATAGTCATCTAAGCTATTCGCATAGCACAACTATCAAGAGACAATGGAGAAAGTAGGAGAAAACATGAGATTAAGGGGATGCCGGGTTCTGGCTAAGCCAGTCACTCTGAATCGCCGATTTATAGAATGCCAATCGCTTCTCAATCTCTCCTTTGTCCATTGCGTCTTCGAAATAGTTGCGTGATGGATCACCGAGTGCTCGAAGAGTCGGGGGCTTGGGAATTTGAAAGTGGTAGAACCGAACGAGAACTCCGTTCGCGATTACGCCGCGGCGCCGGTTCCAGGGGGTCTCGCGCAGAGCCATCATTTCCCCAAAAAGGCTAACTTCCAGTTCTTGCCAGCAGCCCGGGTTGGCCACCATGAGCACGAGGAAGGGTTCCCGTTGATACGAGATCACCAGTTTCTGGTAGGGAGACCACACTTCGTACTCGCTTGAAGTAGGTCTGGAGTTCTCGATGTTTACCCCAAAGCCCTCCTGTGAGAGGAATATCTGGCCCAGGCACTGCGCCCAGTAACCCAGCTTCTCGATTGTCTCGGCCATATGGTCAGTGGGTGTGGTGTCAACAAGTATGGTCTCGGCCGCGAAAGTATCAGTGAGTATGATTTGAATGAAGGCAATGCCACGCAGAATAGTATCACTCACAATTTTAGGACTGATGATGGGATTACTCGGGATGGCATCAGTCAGGATGGCATCAGTCAGAACGGTATCAGTCAGGATGCTATCAGTCAGGATGATATCAGATGTTTGAAAAGGACTCCATTGGCACGAGCGACTATAGATCCTAGATGTTTATTTATGATAACAAAGTTGTTACCGGTGGAATCCTTGAGAATTTGTAGTATGATGAACAGGCAGATACCGGCTATCTGGGCTCTACTATGAGAGTATAGATGGGAAACCTTCGTATGAGTATGAAAGACTGCGAGTCATCTCTCCCCACATAACTGGAACTCTCCGTTATTGCTAGTTCAGTTAGAAACCAAATTGCTTTGCTACTCACTAGCCACTCAGTTCTTACTTTGATGTCCGGTGACTTGCTTAAATTTCTGAATGAGATTGACATTGACGAATGGAAATAAGGGAGATCTCCCGAGACAAACCCCGCTACTGTCATTCAATGAACACAAAGCAATGCCCGCTATGAACTGCAATGCTGATATCAGATGTCCGTCATAGCAACATCGGCGCAAAAGCTCGAACCTAGGCGAGCTTGATCTCGACTAAGGGTACGCAATCCAATGAAACAGCATTGAGCTTGGGCTTTGGGGGTCGCTTGAACCATGGTTTCGCTGCCAGGTACCACTGTCTGCGGAGCTGAGAGGGGCCTGAAAAGTGACACAGCATCTTGGACCATAGAGCTTCAAGAAACATGACATGCATGCACTATTAGCATAAGCAAGCTACATATAGTTAAGTTAGGTGAGAAATCTCAGTGGCTGACGTACAGTACATAACGCAGTAGGTTATGCCTTATGTGACCAAGGCAGTTGATGTACCCAGCTCCAGCCACACTTGGCGGGGTAACCCCGCCACATCACCTCAGATGCAAGCCACACTCTCACACTGCGGCCTAAGGCAGCAAATCTCTACCCGATCGGCAAAAGCCTTGAATCAGACATGAAAGCAACATTAAGCTGTCAGCCTACGCATCACGTACCATCAAGGGACTCTTGTCAAGTTACCTTCTGCATCTTGGTGACCCTATGTACATAACCCACTATCAATACACGTACCGAAACCGACCATTCTGCCTATCTGTCAGCCCTGCCCACTTGGCCTCCTCCACCATCGCGTCCTCGACCTTCCCGTACTTCCGATCCCGCCTCCGATTCTCCCACATATAATACACAAAAAGCACCGCCGACATGACTGCAGCGGCCGCTTGTGTGGCAAGAACCGCAATCTTGGCCGGCCGATATTCGGGGGCATCCCGCGCCTGGAAGGTCTGGGGCCCAATGATATTTCCCACCGAGAAGGAGCCGGCGATAAGCGCGCTCCCGAAGGCGCGCTTGGTGTGGCCCGCGCAATTGGCCATCGTCCATTGATAGAGGATGGGCAAGGTCGCCACGATTGCATTCACCAGGTAAATCCCGATCAGGACCCCAGCTTTGTCGCTCTTAGGCAAGAAGGAGAGCAGAGCGCCGCCGATGATCCCGGGGATGGTGCAGAGAATATTCCAGGCCCAGCGATGGGAGGTCTTGCGAATGCCGATTCCGACCAGCAGGGTGAAGAAGATGCTGACAATCCCCGACGGCATGTTCAGCAGGGCCGAGATCGGGCCCGGGTAGCCGAAGCTGGCAATGAGAGTGGCCGAGTAGGAGGTGACCACACCACTGGATACAGAGATCTATCAAAAATGAGCTTTCGGGATGGAACAACGAAAGGGGTAAGCCAATGCGCCATACCAGGATAGTGATCAAAGTCAGCAGCCAGAGTTGGATGTCCAACACAGCCTCCCAGATCTGCTTGAAGTTGAACTTTCGGCTCCAGACGCCCGTCTGATTGACACTGACATGCTGCAGGAGCGCGACCTTCTCGTCATCGGACAGCCATGTCGCCTCCATGGGAGTATCTGGGATTAGCAGAAAAGTGAGAACGCCGACGACGACGGTGGCAAGACCGATGACGAGGAACATGATGCGCCATCCTGCCATCGCCGCATGCTCAACATGCTGGAAGCCAAACGAAACCAGTCCACCAATGATCTGTGCCACTCCCAATCCATTGTACCAGAAGGTAAACCGCGGGGCCTGTTCACTCTTGGTGTAGTATTGACTGCTGATCAACATCAGCGACGGACCGATAGTCGCCTCGAATATGCCCAGGAAGACACGCGCAGTGAGGAGGGTTCGGTAGTTGGTGGCCCCAGCCGATGCGGCGGCGGCAACCCCCCACAGGGTAACATTAGCTCCCAGCCATTTCGCAGCGGGGGCTTTCTGAAGGCAGTAGGCTAGGAGAGGGATGTGGGTAAGCGCACGACCAAGCACCGTACACGGTTGCAGGTATTTCACTTACTGTTGGGCACCTCAGCGATCAGGTAGGCCAGGAAGAACCAGGTGGCCGTGTTGGTGTATTCGTTCCCTGCCAAGCCGAGGTCCTTCTTCATCCCCATCACCGCGGCATAATTCAGCATCACCTTGTCCAGGAACTGCAAGACATAGCAGCAAAACATAAACGGAATAAGGCGGAAGTCGATCTTGCGACGGAGGGCTCGAAGGTCGATCTGGAGGGTGCCAGCCCCGGCCATGTGGCCCTGGAGGTATTCCACCGCATCGTCGGTGCGATTGGCAGACAAGGCCTGAGAAGTGGGCTGTTTCTCCTCCATCATTGACGTGGTTTCAGGCAACGAGGAAGGAAAAGCAAATTGGGTTCCGAAACCAGGGGGGAGAGGGGTTCTAAATGGAAAATTCTTTAGTGTGGGATATTATTGCGTTGGGCAAAGTGATGGCATTTGTGCGACCCAGCTCATTTAGTCTAGACCGGCAGGTTGCATGGTTGCATGAGGTACAATCTATTGCCAATTTAATCAGTTGGTCTAGTGCATGCAGGAAGACGGCCGGTCGTCCTTCGCCAGCGCACTAGTTTCACAACCTGGGCTGAGGATATGAAGGCTAATTGCTGCAGGAGAGGTGCATCCATGTTGGCAGTGGCGTGAACATTTAGAATGTAGTTAAGACTCGTGGTCCCCTCCACTGTGCGATCGATCCTCTGCAGCCAGTTCGACCATGACTTGGGTGCACCATGCCTCGCCCGAGGTGGAGGCAGAATCGCAATATCGCCTGATACTGGGGGTGTGTTTAGGTCTGACACTGTTGATGTTCATCATCGTCTGCCTACGTTTGGCCATTCGGTTCCACGCTCGTCGGTTGGAAGCCTCTGACTATGTGATGGTGGTGACTATGGTACGCTCATCCAGTTAAGGCTACTATCTTTGGCTGATCATCCGTGGTGTACCAGGCCTTTAGCATTATATACAGCGCACTATGTATAGCTCGTGAGTGACTTTCGTTTTCTTTTCCTTGTCCGTCGGTCGGAATACTAGCTGACCATAATAGAAAGTAGGTACGGTCTAGGGCTACCTCTGAAGCTGCGACCGAAGGAAGACCTGCCCGAGTACACTAAGGTATGTCTGCTTAAAGTCTCACCAGTAATCTACCAACTGATGAGAAGGTTATAGCTCAATTATGCCGGTCGGCCATTCTACCAAATCGGGATCGCAGGGTTCAAGGCTTCGTTATGTTTGAACTACCTCCGATTGATTTCCGGAACGTCGAAGAACCTATATAGAATGCTCATCTGGGTTACAATCACCTTCTGCAGCATTGGCCATATTGCGGGGGCATTGGTGCTGATATTCAACTGCCATCCCGTATGTCAAAGACCAGGTTGAGACAGACTGACCGACTGACCGACTGACTCTGGGCAGGTGAAACGGGCCTGGAACCCTACAATAGCTGGATCATGTCTTCCCTCGGGGCCAACATTCTACGGACTGGCTGCATTCACCATCTTCTGCGACGTGGTCATCCTCATTCTCCCTATCCCCCTGCTCATGCAGCTCAATATTAAACCCGCCCAGAAAGCGGGCGTGGTGTGTTTATTCCTCTTGGGTCTTTTCACCACCATCTGCTCCATCCTGCGACTGGCTCAGATCCACCGGGTCGCATACGGAGACGGAAACTCGACGATGTTAGTCCTGTGGGGCACCATCGAGTTCAACGTCGGGGTGAGTGTCCGTGGTCCTTTCGTTGGATATATTTACCCTGCTGACCAACTGACCCTTCCAGAACATTGTGACGTGCATTCCCTTCCTTGCACCTCTGCTCAAGGGCGCGGTGCGCGATTTCCGATCGCACAGTGACCAGAAACGCTTTGACGGGCAGAGTTATGCCTTGCAGTCCTGGTCGAAACACCAACGCTCCCAGCTACAGTCCACCACCTCAGCGGCTCCACGCCCCCGACGGACTCCCAGCGAGGAGCTGATTTTGGAAAGTGGGGGGCTCGAGGAAGGGGGGATTCATATGACAGTGGAGTTGCGAGTCTCGCTGGAGGAGAAGGCCGCGAGAGATCACTGAGAGCGTGGCGACCCTGAAATTTTCTTTGGGCTTAATTAATTAATTAATCACTCACCGGTCCGCGAGACCCAGGTTTCCTAGTGTCAATAAGGTAGGAACCCTGCCAATATTGAGCACGGTTGCTGCAAATAAGAGTTGGCCGAAGTTGGTCAGGGATTGGAACTAAAGCAAGGTGGACTGGGTCGAAGGTTCTCCCGGTCTAATCGGTGGTGATGGCACTGGCTGATTAAGGCGTGCTTGGGATCGGCCACACTTCCCCGAGAAGGGACCGGATAAGTGAGACGATGTTACACTATGTTTCTACGCAGGGGGCTGTTGCTGCCTGCGGTGGTGGGGATGGATTGATTGAAGCATCCACCGGCGGACGACGGACTCAGGGCTAGTCTCATGCCGGGGTTGACCCCATCCCGTGCTGGGCATAGCCAATGGGTACTCATGTTCCCTTGTGAGCCACTGTACTCAAATTTCGTTAGGCTCATAGACTACGTACAGTACTAGTGACAGTTAGTGGGTCTTCTCCCGACCGCTGAGGGCCGAGGACTCTTTAGTGGCCCGTGGTGGTGCCAGACTGTAACGTTATACTCTATTGGTGACTTGTTCATACTGAGTGTTCTGTCTCCTCGCCATCCCTGCTAGCCCAGGATCCCTAGCCTTCAGCTGCACAATAAAAGAGACATCTCAATGGTGAACGTTTGAACCGCATGACGATCGACAGTGTCTTCCTTATATTAGTCAGAGACACGGGAGAGCTGTGGCTGTCAGTGCTGTCAGTCCACCGAGGCTAGCCGTTCATCAGGCGACAGGTCGAGTCAAAAGCAAGCAAGGGATGGGCGAAAAAAAAAAATTAAAAATAAACCTATCCCGTGCAGTCATCAATCATACAGCCCGTGCATCTGCCTCGCCCCTCCTCTCCTCTTTTCCCATGGCTGATCTTCCCGTGCTCATCGCTGGTGCCGGCATCAGTGGCCTCCTGCTGGCCCAGTATCTTCAACGACACCATATCCCGTATCTGCTTTTCGAACAAGATGGCTCGATCGATGCGCGGAGTGGTGGATGGGGGCTGACCCTCCACTGGGGTCTCCCTGCGCTGCGCGAACTCCTGCCGGACCACCTCGTGGCGCGACTGCCGGAGACGTATGTGAACAAAGCTGCTGCCGTGCGAGGTGACACGGGGCGCTTCCAGTTCTTTGATCTTCGTACGGGATCGGCCTTGTACAGCGTCCCCGCCGCCGAACGGATCCGCGTCAGTCGCGTGCGACTGAGGCAGCTGCTGGCCACCGATCTCGACCTCCACTGGAACAAAACACTCATCAGAATCGACTCGACAACCGAAAGCGTCACCGCACACTTCCAAGATGGGACCTCGTATACCGGCTGCCTGCTAGTCGGGTGCGATGGATCGCGCTCCCGTGCCCGTGAGATCGTGTACCCGGATGGCCACGAGATGAACCCCCTGCCCGTGCAGCTGCTGGGTGGAGCTGCCCTCTATTCGGCGGAGGAGATGGGAGGAGCGGAGACCATCGACCCTTTCATCTTCCAAGGCTCGCATCCCGATTCAAATATCTTCTTCTTTTTCAGCCGTAGGTGTGACTGTCGTCCTCATCGTGAAGGAGCATTGCTGACCAAGAGACTGCCCGAATGCCCGCAGTGCTCGATACACCCAATAACTTCGACGAGAGCGACAAAGACAAATATCTCTGTCAGATTATTGTATCCTGGTCGGATGAGAAGGGAATCCCCGTTCCCAGTGATAATGCAGAGAGACTAGCATTGATGAAGTCCCTGACGGCCAACTGGGTTGAGCCCTTCAGAGGTCTGGTTCATCAACTGCCCGAGAGCACCGATGTGCGATCGATCCGGATTGCCGACTGGCTGTTCCGACCAGGGCAGGACACTGCTCATCCACGGGTGGTGCTAATGGGCGATTCCGCTCATACGATGACGATGTGTATGTTTCCGCATGATGATGATCCCTGATTGAATGGTGCCTTGCTGATCCGGGAATAAAACATAGTCCGCGGAGAGGGGGCCAACAATGCCATCGTCGATGTCCTGGATTTCACGAAGCGAGTGGACTTGCGATTCTTGGGGTGAGTGTCCAGCACTACCTGCAGACGTATGCGTTGCTGACGTTGGTACAAATTCATTGCACTGAGCAGGTCTCTTAGCATAAACGAGCTTCGCAAGTCTCTAATGGTGTACGAGAATGATGTGCTTGCCCGAGCAGGGCCAAGTGTGGTCAATTCCCGGCAAGCGTGTCTCGATGCCCATGACTTCTCCCGCATTGTGGATGGCAGCCCCTTGGTTTCGGCTCGCTTGCGCGAAGAATAGCCGGACACTCCTGCATGGGAAATTTGAAACTGCTCACATCTCCTCCGGGGGTCTGACACCGGCAGTGGCAGGGCTGATGCTTGCACCCTAGTGCAGCCGAAGGTAATCGAGCAAACACGCCTGTTCATCAAGACATATAGTGTGTTCGTTCTTCTTCCTCCAAGGATTTGGGCTCATTGTCCATCCTATTGATTTAGCTTTATCGTTGCAATTAGCAGTCAATTGTTCGACACGTAGGTTAAAGTAGTAGCTTGGATATTTGTAATAGTTTAATCAAAGGGAATTCGCTCTGGCTTACCAGCACAGAAGCAATAGACTCAGTTTAAGCTCCAGCCAAAGTCGGTACCGGGTGCTATATACCACAGTTCGGTCAGCTTATCCTCGTCCTGGCCTCTAAAGAACCTCTCCTTGCCCCTCAGGTCATACCGATAAAGGCCAAAGGCCTTATGTTGGACGTCATCGCCTGGAACCAGCTCTCGATAGAACTGCACCCACTCGGGCGTCTCGATGCTTCCCATCAAAGGCAGCAGGTCAGGATGTTTCTTTATTCCTCGACGAATCACGCTGAAGAGCAGTTGTTAGACTGCCACCCACTGTGGACCTTGAACGGCTGCATAGTCGCAAAATATGGAGTACATCTGCCAACACGGCTTCTCTATTGTTGCGAATCCATATTGGGTCTCTGTTCGATTGTCAGCCACCATCGCGACACGGTCCGCAGTCGTGTGCCTCCAGCGTGGTGGAGGCCGGTTATCCGGCAGCATCTCAAAAAAGATTGGTTCGTCAGCCATTATGTTTGACGTTGTCGGTATTGGCGATGGGTGGGATGTGAGACAGACGATGCAGATCGAGTGTTTGGTGGGGAGATGGGGAGACACATCTAGCCAACTGTTGCTTATATAGTCTGGGTAAATATGCTCCTCGAGATAATGCTGTGTTTATTCTATATTCGCATAGCTTTGCTCAACAACCGAATAAAGAACCCTCATCCTTTATCCCTGGCTCCACGGGCGCTCGTGCATGCAACCACTGGACTATTCCTGAAGCCTATAGATGTTTTTCTTATTTGTCCATGTAGATTGTCCTTATCCTGTAGTGATATACTCCCGTGTGGCTGAGGCTCTTTCGTATTTTTGTTTCTTGTTCTAAGAATCTGTAGATCTTTTTTACTAACGTTCCTCTCTATGTTGAAAGCAAAAGTTCTATGACCTTAGACGACGACGTCTTTGTGTAAAGCTCAGATTACTACCCGATGGTCTCTTTATCATACCTCTGTCATTATTCTGAGACCCGATTGTTTTTCCCCGGCTTGTCACATTCTTGTTCCTACAGCATAAGCTCGGTAACTCGTCAACCTCCTGGGTGACTCTGATCGGCACCTGCTCTCGGACAAGTCAAGGAACGACCCCACTGGAAATCCCGAAATAGCCCAGCCAAGGGTGTTCCCAAGCAATAGTCGGAAATCCAATTCCTCCATGTGGAGATGATCATTGCTAGATCGAGATCAGAGTCGACTGGTAACCGAGGTACGGATCCACCGTTCGCGTGCAGTCGCCCAATTTTGCGTGTTTCAGTCGGGGATCCCCGATCAGGTCCAAGAATGAGTCGAGCTTCCAACAATTATATCTCTTGGTGCATCTTCTCATTGTTGACAATGGAGTTCACTCTGTGCCATCGTCATGCATTTTCCCAGATACCTGGTGGCAGCTCTGTCTGCTTTACCTGCCTGCAGCGCCCTTCCCTCGCAGCAGCCCCGGGACTCTGCATCGACAATATCCTCCGACGCCCTCAAGTCCTTTGACTTTTGGGTGCAGTATGCAGCGGCCGCTTACTGCGAGTCCAACTACATCTCCCAGGTGGGCCAGAAGTTGACCTGTTGGGCGGGCAATTGTCCCCAGGTTGAGGCCGCCGATGCGACCATTTTGCTAGACTTCTCCAAGTATGCCTACGACCCCTCAGCTGCGGTGAGCCCTGCCCCTTCAATCAACCATACTAATTGAGCCGTGATAACCCAGCACCACTGCAACAGATACAGCCGGCTTCCTCGCCCTCGACCACGCGCACCAGGCCCTCATCCTCTCCTTCCGAGGCTCGTATTCCGTCCGAAACTGGCTAACCGACGCGACCTTCTTCTACGCCGACCCACATCTCTGCACAGGCTGCCAGGCCGAATTGGGCTTCTGGAACGCCTGGACCAACGTGAGGGCGAACGTAACTGCAGCCCTCACTCATGCCCGCGCCTCATACCCCGACTATGAATTGGTAGTGGTGGGCCACAGCCTGGGCGCGGCCATCGCGACCCTCGCCGCCGCTGACCTGCGCGACCACCAGAACGAGACGACGACCCTCTACGCCTTCGCCTCACCGCGCGTGGCCAACCCCGCCCTGGCCAAGTATATCACCGCTCAGGACCAACAAAAGAACCAGGGCAAGAACTATCGCTTCACGCACACCAACGACCCCGTACCGAATCTCCCTCTGCAGCTGATGGGGTATGCCCACATCGGCCCCGAATACCACATCACCGCCCCAGATAACGCCACCGTCACGACGAACCAGGTCGTTGTGTATGCCGATGGGGATAGCAGCCAGGGGAACACGGGGCTGCTGGGGATTCCGGATCTGCTGGCCTTCGATGCGCATCATTGGTATTTTGAGCGGGCGGATGCGTGTCTGGGGCCGGGGCTGCCGTTCAAATGAGGTATCCTGGTGGACTTGATGAGAGAGCTTGGTCTCCTTTCGTCGGATTCTTCTCTTTGTACGATTTTAATCCTGACTTATTGACCATTGGTGTGGATAAATATATATTGTGCATATACTAGTATGCTTGTTCGATCCTTGATTGATCTCTCACTGCCAACGTACCCCTGTCAAAATACTCGTGAGGCTCCTTTACCAAGAGATGTCATGAGAGCAACCGTAGCTTAGGCAAGTATGCAGGTCATAGTGGTAGTCAATGGAGGTAAGGCTTGGTAGCGAATCGATGACCTGTGTGTCAACATATGCACCGCATTTGTGATGTGTGCAAACAATACAGTTTGGCCCCGATACCACGCTGTTTGTCATTCGTCAGCTCATAAGTATCGGCACTATCCAACGCGTGGTTAGCTAAAAGCCTAAAATCGCCGAGCCTTGAAGCGAATTTGAAGACGAATGCAGCTTCGTGCTACAGCGTCATGATAGTGGTGCCGCACGAACTATCAACTTGTAACATTTACAAACTACGTCTACTACTTTGAAGAGTAGGTTTGAGTTATGATATAAGTTGTTCATTCACTAAATTACATGTACCGTTCCCTGATCGTATATTCGAGAGTCATGTCATGTTCCCAGTCGGGTCGTATCATCAAATCGTGATGGATGAGTCGGCGTATAATCTACTCATCACCAAGAGTCTGGCCGCCCTTGCGGCCGGCCTCGTGAGGGTCGACCTTGCCGTGGGCGAACTCGCCCTTGGCGCTGCCACCGCTGTGGCTTCCGGTGGCCTGGCCGCCGATGGAGCCCCCCTCCTGACCGGCCTTGTGGGGGTCAACCTTGCCGTAGGCGAACTGGGACTGCTGGGTGCGCTTGTCGGGCTGGCCGTCCTCGCGGAGACCACCGTGCTCTGTTGGAGTTAGCAGCTTGGTATTTTTGAGGAGGAAAGGGAAATGTACCAGAGGGCTTGTACTTGTCGGCCATTTTGATAGAGTGGAAGAATCGGGCAACTGGGATGCGAGAGTGGGAAATTGGCTTGTTGATAATGGGTTTGATAATCATGGAAAGGTTTGCTGTTGATGCAAAAGTGATTCACGTTGGAATTGGGGGCCTCTTTATAGAGGATTGGGTATGAGGTGTTGGGTAGAAGGAGAAGGTCAGGGTGAGGTCATGGAGGCAGCAAATGCGGTCATGAAACTACGTGGAGATGACATCGCCTTTACGATGATGGCTCGCCACTCGTCGCAGTCTGGAGCAGTGTGTGGACTGTACACATCTTCAGGCTCCGATTCAGACTCGTAGTGTTGATGTCGCGTCATCCTCGGGAGAGTTGCACAATTCTTCGCAATGATCCCGAATATTCGATGATGCGCGAGGGCATCATCATCATCATGGCTGTAGGGTTAGGGTTGCAGCCTACCAGCTGGCTACCAGCTACTAGCCTACCCCAGGTCTGACCGCGATCGATCGATCACCCGCTGCCTCCTCACTGGCCGCAAGTCGGCCACCGTCGCCAGGCTAAACAAGCTTATTGAGACCATGCCCCTGAGACACGTCGATCTGCCTTGGATGCCCCCGGCCATTGCGGTAGAGTCTTCCGTCGATCATTCGGCATGTGTTCGAAATGCTGAGCCGGGCGTCGAGTCGAGGCTCTCATCGTTGCGTAATTTTAGCTAATCTCAAACTTACTCAGTACTGCATCTCATCAAGTCCCGGCCAGGCATCTGCAGCCGCCAATCAATGCCATTACTGCGCAGCGCATTGAAGCAACTAAATAGAAGTGACCTGTATTTCTAATGATGGCATAACTTGACTGTGCATGCTCGACCAGGCTGATGAATTGGTGGCGACTGAAAGCAAATGCCTAGTTGTTCTTAGGATGCTCGGTCGGGAACTGCCAGGGCAGCCCGTAGGACACCCGCCTGAAGACTTTGCATTTCTTTCGACTTTTAGGTGTGAATGTAACCACTACATGCAAAAACTCAACTTCAAATCCCCTTTGCATACCAATGCAACTCAATTGAATGAGATTAAGTGGTGGATGCTGATTTGCGACCGGTAAATATGTATGTATTCACCCGCCGGTCCTCCTAACCCACCACTCTGCGATCAAGCCGCGGCCAAGGTGATCGATCGATCACGTCTCAGGCCAGAACAGCATAATGCCCGGTCATGTCGCCACGCAACATCCTATCTGGGATTCGAAAGGTGCGAACCAGGATATGGCGAACTCATGAATTTCTGTGTAATATTCTACAGGAGACAAGTCCATGGTGACCAAGTCTAGATCATTGTCGTTCAGTGCAAGCTGCCCCAACCCTACCTTGCCCGGACAGCGGCTGTAACTCATTGACAGCGGATCTAGGCGAGCAGTGGATAGCTATAGCTTGATTTGTCAGAGTTGAAGGGCTTTCCCGATGATCAGATCCCAAAAGCTTCTCAATTGACATGCTCTGCTCCGCTGCTAGCCAATCGATCGTGGGTAACCTGCACTTCCTCCTTTTCTCTAAGGCAATGCGGTCGGGGGCTGTCACTATAAAGACCTACCTACTCTTAACGTTAACCCTCTCTCAGGAGATGCTCGCCCTCGAAACGAGGTTGAGTGTTCTGTACTAAGTACTCATCAATTTGCCTTTGTTTGGTCCCTCCTTGAATCCATGCATTATTCGCATGGCCATGAGCCATGCGCCTGTACTGTAGCTTCGCTGTGCCCCTGCACAGTATAATTCGATAGCCGAGTCAGAGCGAGACTCTGTCTTGAACGTATTCCCGAACAACGGCAGAATCACATTCTCAAGGTAGCAATAGTCGTTCCATCGTGCAAACTATAGTCGTTCCATCGTGCAAACTCAATCTTCAAATACACCACGGCCCATTCTATCCAAGACAGCCACCTTGTTTCGAGCCGTCAGCTCTTGGGACCTCATCCCAGCCCCCTGGTATACGACCAGGATATCCCAAGCCACGTGCAGTACATAAAGAGCGAAGTCCCAGCCATCAACCCGCAGGACACCCACCCCTTTGGAAGCAAAAAGAAGAGTCATGGTCTTACTGGAACCACGAACAGGCTGAAACGATCCCCGATCCACAAGCTCTATCCAGTGGTACAGTACGCTCATTACCCCTGCCCTGGCGTTCCAGTGTCAGACAAAGAACCACGACTCCAGCCGCATAACCACCCATCTACTACTCCCTACGAACTCTACAAGTGATTTGTTCTGGAAAAGACCGTCTTGAACACAAGATGTATTTGGGTATCAATGGTAATGATGATGCGCGATGTATATATATACATGTATATGTGGTGATGTAGTGAGGAACCCATGAGCGCTCGGAGGCGATGGAGAAAAAGGAGACAAGATAACCAAAAAAGACAACACAACAAAACAGCAAGAAACGAACCCTGACTCGCAGTTCGTCAGGGCTAAAAGCGCAATTAGTCAGCCTATAAGCTGAAAACGTCTATACAGGATCATTAGATGTACATTGGAGGGATCGATATGACGTCATGTCGTCAGAGATGATGAAGATGATGAGGAAAAAAGGAGTGTGAGAGTGAGAGTGACAGAGAAGAACTAGGGCTTGGACAGCTGTTCCTTGCGGAAGAAGAGCAAGAAGCCAGCACAGATGAGAAGCTGACAGAACAGGGCCACCCAGAACCAGGCGTTGGCCACGGAGCTGGCACCGAAGGTCGGATCGGGGGAGACCGGTCCAGGGCCGACATTATTAGGGCCAAAGGCACGGGCGCAGATGGTGGCGATTGAACCGATCACCTGCGAACAGATTAAGGTGAACAGCATATGCGAGCGCGTGAGCGTCTGCAAGAGGATGATACCGAAGCCGAGACCTTGGATCGAGTCCAGTACACCCAGCCAGAGCCAGATACTGCGCGAAACCAAGGCACCGCCCGTATATCCGCCGGTGACCCAGGGCAAGAAGTAGCCGATACCGGAGACACCCCACCAGATCTGGGCCCAGCGCGGCGCGCCCAGTCCGCAGGCGAACACCGGTAGGAACCAGCTGTGCGCCTTGAAATAGCGGCTGACGACGAACAGGAACCCGGCCCAGACGAAGCCGTAGAAGACGATACACAAGATGACGATCTGCCAGCCATGGGCGTGCGCCGAACCCCACAGGAAGCCCCAGTTGCGGCCGTACGGCGCGCTCAGGAAGAAGTTCTGCAGGATGACCGCCACGAAGTTCCAGAGCACGATCTTACGCCGGAAGACGGACTTGTAGAAGGAGGCGACCTTTCCGGGGACCTGATTGTAGTAGGTGGGCAGTCCCATGAACAGGAGGATGCCCACCGCCCACAGGGCGATGGCGATCGGATAACAGATGGCCGTCATCTTCCACGAGTTGGCGATATTGTTCGTGCTGGTCAGCACGCCGGCGCCGGACGCCTTGGTCAGGGTCGATCCCCAGTACCAGAGGGCAATCACGTAGGCGGACTGGATGCCTTGGATGAGGCACGCGCGGAAGATCCACACCTCCACAGGGGCGCCACCTTCGTCTCCGAAGTTCAGGGCGAAGAAGAGCGAACCACTCGACGAGCCCACCGCGTACGCACCACTACCGACGTTCTGGATCCAACCGCGGTTGAACTCGTTGGAATCCCAGTGGGCGGATCCGATCAACAGGAAGGCAAGGCCGTAGAAGAACCACGGGGCCGAGAGACACACCACGGACTTGAAGTAGCGGTACACCAACCACCAACAGATCGAGGCGATCAGGTACGTAGTAGCAATGCCGTACAACTTCTCGGCCGTCTGACCGACTTCACCGGTCAAAAGGGTGACCTGGTACGAGTTGGCGGCGATGATCTGGCCAATGGACAGGAAGATCGAGTAGATGGGCCAATCGCCGATGCGAATTTGCATCCAGCGCCGCAGGCCTGTGGGCGGGACGTAGTCCTTACCCAGCAGGAACTCATCGTCGGTCTCGTTGGACTCCTCGTTGCTGCTGGCGCTCATGCGCGAGCCGGTCTCATCGTTATACGAGCCCATGGGGGAGGCGCCGTGCTTGTCGCGGAAGATGGAGGGCGTGGGCGACTTGAAGCGACCCAGTTTGGCATCGCGGAAGCGATCGAACCATTCCTTTTCACTCTGGATCAGGTACTCCTCGATACAGAACTGCGATTCCGAGTTCTCGCCGGTCAGGTCCTCGAGCTTCTTGTCGAACGAGTTGTAATACTCGCCCGTGCTGTCGGTGAAGAAGGGGTCGACCTTCTGCAGCTTGAAGTCCTTCTTGCCGCCGACCACGGAGTCGAGAGAGAGCATCGAGGCGCTGCTGAGACGGTTTCGGGCCTCGTGGAGGTTGGGCGGAGGCAACAGGGTCTGCGAAGCTGTCGGAGGACTGCCAGGACTGGAGGGAACGAGACTGTTGTGAGGGAACCCAGGGCTGGCAGGGACCAAAGCCCCCGATTGACGGGCGGCCTGCAGACGGCGCGCCTCTTCCAGTTCCGCATGATTGAGCGTGTACTCGTCATCACCGAAGTTGTCCTGGGGGTCGTGCTCAATGTCGGTCTCGTCGCCGCCTTCCTCGGCCTCGACGATGTTCTCGTTCTGAGGATCGGCACGCTGCGCACGCGGACGGTGGCCGGGACCGGAGCGGTAACCCAGAGACAGCTTGCGTTGCAGCCCACTGGCGGGCTTCTCGGTGGTTTCTGAAGTAGCCACGTACTCGCTGAGTCGGTTGAGGTTGGCATAGCTGCTCTCGCGGGATTGCAGCGTAGGCGTCTGCATGCCCGGAGCCAGCATGGGACTGGCCGGGGTCGGGGCGAGAGCGAAGTTCGAGGCAGAGGGGGTGACTGGCCGGTTGTTTGTCTTGCTTCGTTCCTTGCTATGCACCTGAATCGCCGTCGTTTGCAGGATCTCCAAGTCTTCAACCCACTGAGCCACGGGGAAACGCTGCTTGGCCGAGCGGGCACGCATCATAGCTCTCGTCTCCTCCTTGGAATTGAGGGCCGCGTCGATAGCCAACTTGAACTGATGGAGCAAGTGGTATGTTGACGTCGATTCCACGTTGTACCACCAACCTGGCATCTG